ACCGGGGGACCATCCCTTTGCCGGAAACGTGCTGCAGGTGTGATGCGCCAGGACGCTGTGATGCGGCCATGCTGCATCACCTGCGTGGTCATCCTGGGGTCCCCGCAGGACATTGAGGAGGAGGAGATGCCATGTGACCACAGAAGCAGTAGCTGGGGTGATGCGGTCACAAGCCCGGGGACTTGGGAGTCCCCGGGAGCTAGACGGGTCCTCCCCTGCAGCCTCCGGAGGGAGCACAGCTCCGCTGCCACCTTGTTTGGGGTCAGGCCCCCAGAACCGTGAGGATAAACTCCTGTTCTTTCCAGCAGCTACCGCGTGGCCATTTGAGACAGCAGCCACAGGCGGCTAACACAGGGGAGAGGCTGAGCCCAAGGACGCTCAGTGACGCTCAGTGAGGCACGAGGTCTAGTCCCGGAGTGGCCCGCCATTACCGCGAAAGGGACAGCCATGTCCCCAAAAAGGACCCGCCCCCCAAAACCCTAGCCCAAGAGGCCAGGAGGGCCCAAGGTGCCATCCTGACCCCACCCCGGGCAGGTGCCACAGCTCCGTCCCAGGCCACGGCAGAGCCCCGCCAACAGCTGTCTGCCACCTTGCTCTGCCCTGGAATGGCCCCAGGCTCTAAGCGCTGCACAGACGGGGCCTTCGGCGATCCCAGGACACTGAGCCCCTCGGGGTGCGCACCCGGTGACCGCAGGAACGGATCCACCACTGCTCATCCTTCCCTGCACAAGGCCCCCTCCTGGCCATGTGCACCCACTGCCCTCTCGAGTCCTTGGCCCACGTGCCTTTCTGCCCAGTCCCCATCTCTGGGACCCCTGGGACTCACATCTTGGCCACCTCTCTCGGCCTCTCTCCACAGCCTCCCTTGTTCTAGTGGCCCTTCTGTGGGGCCTAGAGCTTTCCTTGGATCCCTGACCCCAGCCCCATACCCCTCTGAGCCCTGGGTCTGGAGTGTCCTCCCAGCCAGGACTCAGGTGCTCAGACACCAGCCAGCGGGGACCCCCTGGTCCGCAGTGGTCCCTCCATTCCTGGAGCTGACACCTAGCACTGCCGGCTCAGCTGTTCTGGGCCTCAGGCCCCGGCTCCTTACTGGGTCCCTTGCCGGCCACCGGGTCCCCATCCTGGCCTCAGCTTCTGTTCTCCGGCTGTCCCTCACCTCCTGACTCCACCTACGGTCTTTTCAGCCAAATAAGGCCATTCACCCCTCTGCCTAACCTGCCCCATGGTGCCCTTTGGTCTTAGGACAAGGTCGCCGTTGGGGCCTCAGCATCTCCACACCCATCTGCCTCCCCCATTCCCACGCTGGAACGTGCGGGCTTCCTCTGGCCACAGGCCTTGGCCACGCGCCCTCCTTCTGTCTAAGACACTCACCCACAGCCTATTAGCTCATGATTAGCTCACCGTTCGCGCTCAGCCATATGTCACCTCTTCCAGGAAGCCTTCCCGGATCCCCAGTCCAGGTCAGCTTCCTCGCCAGATGCTCGCTGGGGGGCCCTCGTCCCTTCTCAGCACGTTCCTGTGTGTGATTATGCACAAATTTGGGGGCTGTGATTCACAGGGTGAGGCCCGCAGCGGTGCTGTGCCCCTTCTGTCCCCCATCTAGTGGAGCTCTCAGCCCGCAGGGGGCGGGCCGCCACCCTCAGGAGTTGCCGCCATCACCTTTCAGCTTGGGGGGCTGGCCCCACGCTCTTCGCTGTCTCTGCCCCGCCTATAGGACGAGGTCCTCAGACCAGGCCTCTGACCAGCCGAGCCCCTCAAGGTCCAAGTTGGGGGAGGGGTCCCGCCCCCTCCAGCCCCAGAGCAGGAGCCCGTCCCCACCCCAGAAATGTAGCCTGGGACCCTCCCACCTTCCCTCCCTGTGCAGGACACGGGAGGATCCTCTGTGCAAATAGCCCCCACTGAGCCAGAAAGGACAGTGGCCTCCAAAGGCCGCCACCAACAGGTCCCCCTCACTCAGCACCCGACCTGTCCCTTCCCAGACAAGGGAAACGAGGCTCAGAGATGCCAGGCTGCTGGGGTGAGAAGAGCCAGTGACCAGCCAGGCCAGTGCCGGACAGCCCTGTGTCTGTCCCCAGAGGTCAGGGCCTTCCTCGGGAGAAGGTCTATGTCCCCCCAGGGTGGACCGGTGCTCGGGGGCAGTCCCTGCTGAGAGTCACTGTGCCCTGTCACCAGAGCCCAGCTAGGCTCCCGGCTGGCCTCTCACCAGTGCCCTGGCCACCAAGTCCTGGGCCAGCTTGGCACGTCTCCAGAAAGTCCTTGTGGACACCCCAGTCAGCTGAGCCTCCGGCCCCCCTGTAAGGTGGGACAGAGGAATCTCTCGGGACATGGTGCTGGGCACGATGTCCCTGGGAGGGCCCTAGGCCCACGGGGTCCGCTGGGACTCCCCCGATGGACGTTGGAGGACACTGCAGATACCCCCACCTCCGAGGAGCTCTGGGCGCATGTCCTCTGCTGCTTGCAACGCCAGTTGGGCTGGACGCGACCTGAAGTCCAAGCTTCCCCAGCCTGTCTCCCTGAAGCTCCAGGCCCACGTAGCCCTCCTCCCAGGGGGGAGACCAGGGGCCAGCGACCATGAAATGCCCCTCAGCATCGCACACAAGGTCTGCGGGGCAGCCTCCCGCACTGGACCCCGCAGGCCTGACCTGGCCCGGGGAAGGCCCCAGTCCCCACCGAAGGCAGGTCCCAGCTTCCCTTTCAAGGAGCAGGCCGGAGGGCCTGGCCCCAGACAGTGTCACGGACCCTTGAAAGCAAACCTGTCACCAGGTTTGGTGAGACCCCAATCACCAATGCCAGTGGATTAAACACCCTGGCGTGGCCCTCAGAACAGTCTTCCACCCCCAAAACACGCAAGTAAAAAGCCAATCAGGCAAAACCACTTTGTGCTTTGGAGCTAAAAAGATTCCGCGTCCTACGCTCCCAGAGCTCCATGCCCTGCTGGGGAAGCCTGGGAGCAGCCGCCGCGGCTGGAGAAAGAGACAGATGCGCACAGAGACAGAGACAGAGAGAGGGAGAGACAGAGAGAGCCAGAGGAGGAGGGAGACAGGGAGGGAGGGAGGCAGGGGGCAAGCCGGGAGGGAATGGAGGAGAGGCCAGTCTGTGGGCACAGCCCTGCAGCCGTGAAACCTGTCTGGCCGGATGCTTCCCTCTGCTTCCCGGTAAACACAGCCAGCCCTGAACACACCGGGCTACATTCTCCAGGAGTGGGTGGGGGCTCCCTGTCCTCCAGGCCACACTGGGACCCTGGGGGGTGCTCCGTGTCCCTAGGAAGCGCCGACTGTGACCAGGGACCTGAAGGTCAGTCTTGGGGACTGACTGCTCACCTCGCCGACTGGGACCCACAGCTCCCAGGAAAGGGGCAAGCGGGAGAGGTGCCCAGGCTCCACACTGAGCCCAGACCAAGGCAAAAGCGGGACGGGTCTGGTGGGCAGTGAGGCTGGTCAGGCATGGCAGAGGGCACACAGACGGGCAGGACCCCACAGAGGGTCCCCAGCCCCCAGGCCGTGCCTGGAGAAGGAAGACGCATCTGACCTTTCTCTGGACCCGTCCCCCCACGTGAGGTGCCCCCCGCACAGTGTGCCCGACTTTAGACCCTCGCTGGCACCATGCAAACAGGTGGCTGCCATGCCCATGTCCCAGCATGAGGACGCAGAGCTCCCAGGGGCTGTGCCTGGTCCGGAGAGGGCAGGTTTGCGTCTGGACCCGGGAGAGTCATTCAGGGCGGTGACTGCCCCGACACAGGAAGCGGGTTGGGGGAGGGGTGGGAACAAAGCTTTCAGAGCGGCGGCCACGATCCCGCCGAGGTGCCCTTCTCATCGTCGTTGCTTCCTCAATCCCGGGCCCCCCAGTCCATGTGGCGCAGCAGCGAGGGGTCACACCAGGTGCCCCACAAAGGCCTCCCAGCCACACATCCGCCAGTCCCGCCGAGGCCTGAGGGTTCGAGCTGGGGACTGCAAAGCAAGACGGAGGAGAGGGGCAGGTGGACCAAACTGGGCAAGGTCAGCTGAAGGTCACAGGAATCAAGGCAGAGGCCCAGCTGTGGTGGAGGACCCCTGCTCTGGGCACAGCCCCACCCCTGCCCCCCTCTGTTTCTGTGGGCGTTAGAGGACATGGAGTCAGCAAGAGGCAGTGGCCTGACCTCCACGGGGGAACCCCACCACACACCCTCTGGTCCAGCCCAGGCCACCTACACAGGACCTACCTCCTGCCATGACGAGGCCATGGAGGGGAGTGGGCACTGGGAGGTGCCCACCAGGGCCAGGGGCCTGCGGGACATCCCCCCCAGCACAGGCCCCAGAGCGGGTGGCCTGGCACTTCCCCATCTCGGGGCCCCAGGGACACTCAGGGCAGGCCGCCTCTGCCCCGCGGCCGCGTCCTGACAGCCCCATGTGGTGACCACAGACAGGCTGCCTGGCCTGGTGACAGCCCCAAGGACTCTCCTAAGGCCTGTGGCCAAAGATCCTACAAAGTTCTCCTGGAGAGGGTCGGAGGGCACGACCCCGGCCCAGGGGCAGAGCCCGGAGCTTCCTTGGGGAGCCCAGAGCGCCCAGCCGCCCCAGCCCGGGAACCAGGTGCCCGCCCACAGAGCAGCGCCCACACCGGCTGGCCGGCGGGGTCGGGGGCTGGGGCCCCTACGGGAGTGGCGTCCTCAGACCCGCAGCTCAGGACCTTCCTTCGTTCTGAGTCAGGACCCAGCTGGGACCAGGAGGGAGAGGGGCCACGGCTCTAGTGCGTCCTCTCAGAGTGAGGGCCGGCGAGGAAGCCCCCCTACCCCCCCCCCCGACCCCCTTCGTCTAGACTGCTGTCTACGACCCGCTCCTTTCTCCGGGGGTGGATACAAGGGCAAGCGGATCTTTGAGACCACACACACCAGGCCGCTCTGGGCACAGGCTCGGACCCTGCTGCTTTGGAAGCCTCCCTCCTCCTGTGCCCCGTGAGTCTGAGTGACACCGGCCTCTGGCAGGACTTCTGTCACCAGAGGGCACACCCCGGAGCACACTCACCTGGTCGCCCGACCTAGGTCTCAAACTGGGTCAAGAGCTCCCTTATTTCCGGGGCCACGTGCTGCGCGGCGTTGGCGGCCTCCGTGATGGCCTTCCGGTACATTCCCTTCTTCTTACGGTTAAATCGCAGTTTGAAAAACTCCGAGAACGGGGAGAGTTTTGAAGTTGACAAGAACGATGTCGTTGGGGAACCAAACCACGAGACTTTGGCTTCTTGCCAGGAGGGCTCCCCGTCCTCCTTCTGGCTAAGACTGAGGTCAAGCACACGCGCTGGCCACCAGGGGAAACCGTGAATCTTACCCCACACGATGTCCCCCACGGCCACCGTCCTTCCGTCCTCGGTAACGCACTTGGAGACGCTCTGTGTGTGCAGCCTGACTGTGAGCGGTGGGACCGTCTGCCTCGAGTCCTTGGACGAGGACCGCACAGATGCGCTGTCGCCCGACGAGAGGTCACACATGTCTGGCAACGTGACTTCTGAGCTGGACGATTTGGACTCGTCCAGACTGTCGCTGCTCCACACTGACTCGCCGGTGCACCCTGGCCCCCTCCCGGGGCAGGTCGCGAGGAAAGCCAGGCCCTCTCGACCGCGCTGAGCCTGGGCGCTTGGCTTGAAGTCCTCGTCCTCGCCAGAGCTTCCGGAAGAAGAGTCCACGGGCCCACGGCCGGCAGAGCTGTGGCCGAGGAGAGCGGGGGAGCTGGCCCGGGGACCCCGCCCGTGGCCATTGAGCGCCTCCACCAGCTCGGCCCTGTACACGGGCTCCCGCTCCCCTGACCCCCGGGGCCGGGGCTTCAAGCGGATCTTGGGGGGCGGCAGGCCAGTGCCAGGGGGCCCGGGACGCGTCAGCTTTAGCTTGGGGATGGAGGCGGGGGGCCCAGCGGGGTCCTGGCCGCCCCCGTGTGGGGCCTGGGAGGGGCAGAAGGGCTCCAGGGACCCGTGCACGCGGGGGGGTATCTCCACCACCTCGCCCGTGCCCTGCGGCGTGCTGTAGGAGATCTTGATGGCCGGGCTCCGGGGCACCCGGGCCTTGTCCTCCTCCCTCTTCTCTCTCTTGCTCCTCCTCATGGCGGTGGCCGCGCTGTCCCCTCCACCGTCAGGGTCCACGAGCTTGCGGGGCTCTGTGTCAGGGCCGGGGCCGCTGCCCGCCCTGCGGCGCGGCTGAGGGGCAGCTGGGGGGCCGGGGCCGGCCTCGGGGGGGGGTCAGGGTGCTCTTGCACTTCTCGCAGAGCACTTGGCGCGGCCGCAGGCGGATGGGGCTCAGGGCCAGCCGGCCGGGCTCACGGTTCCGGGACAGGCGCCGGCGGGTCCTCTTGATGGCCCGGGGCGGCGGCTGCGGTACCCACTGCCGGTAGGTGCTTCTCAGCCAGAGTGGGGGAGGGAAGGGGGCGCCCTCAAAGTACGGCGGGAACGGTGGCACGAAAGGCGGGGGTGGCTTGGGGCCTGTGGTCTCGGGGTCCTGGTCCCCGCAGGGTGCTGGCGGAGGGCCCGTCCCCAGCTGCATCGCCTCTCCGTCCTGCTCCAGGGGGGCTGGGCCGTTGCAGCCGTTGACAGGGGGGTCTTCAGGCTGTGGCAGTGGAGCCAATGGGGGCAGGCCAAAGAGGCCGGACCTGGCAGTGGGGAGACAGAAGGGGACAGTCAGGACCATGAGGACACCGCTGCGTCCAGGCCCCACCCCCAGGGGCCCAGCAGGATCTGGGTGCCAGCTAGTGCCCCGAGCACCTGCAGCTGCCTCCAGGCTCTGGACAGGGGCAAACACCCCCACGTGTCCCCGTGTGGGGCATCCTAGGGGAAGGCCTGTTTTTTAAGGAGTCTGGGGGCCAACGTGGAGGCCACCTCTCGGGTTGGTCAGGCACTGATGTCCGCGCCTCGGCTCCTGCGGGTTTGCAGCTGGAGGCCTCCCAAGACTCGGCGCAGGCACACAGGCCCTGGAAGGCTGAGAACAGGGTGTGGGGAGTCCGGGGTGCTGACATGGCCTGACTGGGCCCCGGGTCACAGGCCTTGTGCACCCACTTCTTTTCTCCCTGAGGGAATACCTCAAGCAGGCTCACTATGGGCCCAGGTGGCTGCCGTGGGGCGGGTGTGTGTGTGTGTGTGTGTGTGTGTGTCTGGGGTTGGAGGCTGCAACGGTGGCCATGGAGAGAGGACAGGAGTCAGAGCCCCGGGTCTAGGAGAGGACTTGCTCCCTCCTAAATGCTGAGTTGGTCTCAGCAGTCTCCACTGCCCACAGGTGAGGGGGGGCATCCACTCCACCCCTGCCCAGCACAACCTCAAAGGACCACCCTTCCCGCCTGGCACCCCCAGGCCCTTCCTGCAGGACCTCCAGCTCCACGAGGGGAGTAGACCAAGCAGCACCGACAAGACTACGTGATCCACGGGAAAGGGATGAGAGAGGGCAGGAGACCCACGTTCCTCCCATGAAGACCCACAGCCAAGGCCAAGGGCAGGGCAGCTGCCCCAGGGCTCCCCAGCTGGGACCTGCCTGGCGAGAGGCCTGCTCTCGCCCTCCGGGAAGCGCTGGACCATGCAGTGTCCCCCGTGCAGACCGCTGGGCACCTGGGGGGGCAGGGTCGTTGTTGAAAGTCAGTGAGCAGAGCCCCTCCCAGAGCAGAGGGCCAGCCCGGAGGCCTTGTGCTGGGAGTGTCGCAGCATCTAATTCCCCAGCGACCCACGCTGCCGCAGGAAAACATCCACATGGTGAGAAAACAGCCCAATGGCAGCGAGTGAGCACGTGTGACTTTCCCACAGATGTGATGTCGTCGGGGAGACCGCTTCAGCCAAAGCTGTTATCTTTGGAGCAGGAACGCAGACTTCCGTCAGGCCGCGGGAAACGAGGCTCAGAACACGGCTTCGGCCCTCGCTCGGCCCTTGATCTGACCGGGTGGGGACGACGGAGGGACTCTGCCGCGGTTCCGTCTCCAGGTGGTTTCCCATCCGCTGCTCTCCCGGAGAACGAGCTCAGAGGGGCCGACCGCCCACGCCATCACGGCCCCCGCACGGTCCCCAAGCGCCAGGGCTGGAAGCCCGGAGGCCCCGCCTTGCCACGGTCCTCACAGCCACGGGGTCGGCGCGCTAACAAATGTGGGGGCACGTGGCGTGTGAATGCCACCCCGTTGTTTAATTCAAGCTCACAGCAAAAGCCCGGAGACACAGTTTTTCTCTTTCCCATCAGGTTCCCATTTACTTGTGACCATGCCCGAATCTAAGTCTTCATGGGGGGGCAAGGGGTTCACGTCTTCTCTTCATGACCAGAGAGTCCAGCAAACACGGGTCCACGGCCGCCTGGCCCTGGGCAGCCTGCCCTTCGTGTGGCCAGAGGTGACCTGTAACCTGTAGCCACGAGGGAGGGAGAAGCGGGGAAGCAGCAGGGTCATGTGGGGAGGGGGACGTCCCAGCTCCCGCCGTCCTCTGCCACCCTCCTCTGGGCACATGGCTCTCCACCTGCCTGTGGCCTGGGACGACCGGGTGGTCCCACGGGGACCTGGTGTCCATGCTGTGTCCCAGGTGACCACGGCCGCAGCAGGGTCCCCTCCCTCCACGTGTGCTGGCCGCGTGTGCTGGCCACGTGTGTACACGGCTTCCTTCATCTCAGCTGCCATGGGAAGCCAGCACGGCAGGGTTTCCACACCAGGGTGGGCTCAGACTCTCGGGACCAGAGGTGGGAAAGGGGGCCCCAGGGTCATGCCCTCACCTGGCACTGGGTGCGCAGACCCCACGGCCCAGCGGCCACCACGGGTTTTCTAAGTCAGGATTTACCCTTGCTCATGTTTGGATCACCCTGGTGGCCACCCCCATTCCCCACCGCACCCCATCCCACCCCACCCCGGCGGCTGGGACAGACACCGCACAGACCCCGGACCCGGAACAGCTGCTGTGTGGCCCACGAAGGAGAGTCTGCCGGAGTCCGGCTGTGGGAGCTAAGACCCTGCCCAAAGCTGCCCCCACCCCACCCGCGGTGGTGACAGGCAGGTGTGTCCGCAAACCTCAGCCCGAGTCCTCAGCCCCAGAACGGTGGCTGGACTCCGCACCCAAACAGCCCCAGCTCTTCCGCCGGGTGTCCAAAAGCAGCCAAGAATTCTGAGCGCCGAACTCCGGCACTCACACCACGGCACATGCGTGCGCACACACACACACGCACACGCACACAGGCGTTCACTCCCCGAGCTCCTGGGCCAGCAGGCTCACTGCCCCTTGCTGTTAGGGTGTCAGGATCCCCTCCGTGTAACCCACGGCCCCCTAGGAAGGGCTTCCAAGGGGAGAGGAGGGCGGCCGCGGTGCCCTGCCAGACGATGACATTGAGAGGACTCAGTGCAGGAGGCCCCACAGGAGCCCCTCACGGGATAGTGTCGGCCCCGCGGGGAGCGCCCGGCTGGCGCACTGGGCCCTACACTCAGCGGGTACCCCAGCTGAGGCTGAGAACGGAGCACCCCAACTCCACCCTGTGGGCGTGAGAGAAGGGCTGCAGGGAAGGCTGCAGGACCTCCAAGAAGACACCCTGTCAGCAGGTCCCTAGACCAAGGGGGTCCCACAGATGAGGAGGGGTCCACGTGCCCGGCAGGATCCACACTGCTCAGACCTGGACGGCTGTTCCTAGGGCCCCCGAAGCCCACTTCCCGCCATCTCTGCAGGTGCTCAGACCGTGAGTGGGACATTCACTCACACCCGTCCCTTCGTCTGCGTCCGCACGGACCCCCAGGCTTCTTTGCTGTCACCCTGCTCAGAACCAGCCCAGACCCGCTCGTGAGACTCCCCTGCCCCCAGCCCAAGCCTGTGCGGGCGCAGACCCCTCCTGCCAGGCTGGGGTCCAGGGCACCCCAGGAGCAAAACCCCTGGGCAGCCCCTGTCCCATCACCCCCCACCCAAACCAGCCTATCGTCCCCCCAGGACCCTCCTCTGTAGGAGCTAGCCCACCCTGGGGCTCTGCCGTCCTCTCCCCCTACAGGTAGGCTGGGGCAGGAGGGAGGCAGTGGGGGCAGGGGGGCAGGGGGTGGAAAGTCACCTTATCCCTGAAGGTCCCAAAGCTGGGGTCCAGGGAGGTTTTTGCTCCCCGTTTATGGCGCACACACACACACACACACACACACACACACCCCTCACGGAGTCCCTGAATGTTTAGGACAGAGATCCAGGCCCCGACCTGAGCCAGAGAGCTAAGGCCTGGCCCCTGGGCACAGGCCAGGTCAGTCAGTGGCCCCTCCCTGCCCTAGCAGGTCAAACTGGGTACCAGGTTTGGCTTCACAGAGTACTGGAGAGCAGGCGAGTCCCTGCCCTTGTATGCAGGGCCCCTCAGCCTATGGGGGGCTCCTGTCTTGGGCAGGGTGCTGGGGGGGCAGGGGAGGGCTTCCAGAGGTCAGCTACACGGCACCTCTGCTGAGGACCAAGGGGCAGGCCCCGTGACTCCAGCACTGCACAAAGCCACACTTCCTTCCCAGAGAGGCCTGGCCCAGGCCACGCCCACAGCCCTGGTGTGTAAACAGCAGCCCAGGAATAGCTCTGCCCCCACGCTGCCCGTGGAACCCTACACAGCGCCCAGAGACAGACACACGCGCGCGCACGCACACACACACACACACACACACACACGGCATGGCCATTCCCTATTTACGGACGGACAGGGGTCAGAGGGAAGCCAGGGCACCCCGTGGGCCCTGAGACCATCGGGATCTGAGCTCACGTCCAGGCACACAGACAGCACGAGCCACCCTTCCTGGGGGAGTCTCAGCACCCAGCCCCGTGCGGTGACCTCCCCTGGATTCCGGAGCACCAGGCGTGGCACCACCCAGTGGCTCGCCCGCAGGGCCCAACTCCTCAGTGAGGCCAGGCTGTGTGGACATGGGCTGGTGCCAGGGGAAGGAGGCCCAGTCAGCCTGGCAGCGGCCCACAGGTGACACCATAGGGCCTTGGCCGGAGCAGGCCGGAGAGACAGACTGCCAGGCCCCCCCATGGTCCTGCCCTCCACCATGCTGAGGGCCCCCCCAGCCCCCACTGGCTCCCTGCCCAAGGACAGAGAGGTGTGGGGGAGGGGCCCCAGGGGCTGGGGGGCCAGGCTGGCCAAGGTCTCTGTGCAGGAAACTGGGGGACCCTGAAACAAAGCTCAACAGGGCGTCCTTGGGAGCTGGAGGAGGGGCAGACAGCCTCAGCTCCTAGGAAAGCCTGGAGACACCCAGAGCTCAGCAGACGCTAACGAACAGGGGTCAGATGCAAAAGCAGAGTGGTTCTTCCCCGGAGGGCCCGCACTTGGCTGAGACTAAAGCATGGCCATTCGCAGGGACACGGGGCAGAGAAGCAGTCAGGCCCGCAGTCCTTGGCAGGAGACCCGCGGCCTGCCTCAGCTCCCCCGCCCCCGCTGAGGTCTCACCCATGCAACCAGCTCAGCAAAGCCCCGGAGCAGCCCAGGCCTGAGCTGGCCCGTGGCCAGGAGGAGCCGGCCCGGCCGCCCGCCAGAGCTCCCAGCCTCCCCCGCGGCCTCCCTGCTCTGCAGACTTGGGACCCAAGTGGCTGTGGAGCCTGACAGCCGCCTCTAACCCCAGACGGCACCACGTTTACCCTGGACCTCCCTTCCTCATCCTCCCATGGGGAGAGGCTACCCTGGTGCCCAGTAAAGGGGTGAAGAAACGTGGCTTCAGGACCAGAAACACCCCAGGGGGCCGTCCCAGGTGCCTGCAGGGGCAGCTGGAGCCAGGAGCCTGCGGCCTCGGGCAGGCCAGAGTCCGGACGGCGAGACCCACTCTGAGGCCAGGCTCCCTGTGTTCCACATGTTGGTTTAGAAAATACACCACGGTCTCTCTCCCACTTGCAGCCCTGACGGACGGCAGCAGCGGGCTCGGTGGGAAAGGAAGGGCAGCCTTGCGGGGCCTCCGGGTCCCCCTCTGCTCAGGGAGTTGGGGAAAACGGGTTAGCTGGGGAAGTCATGGCCTGGACACCAGCATGGCCCCTCGTCTAGGTAGAGCCAGCATCTCTGGGGCAAGCTAGGGGGCCAGGCTAGCACATCTGCCCCCTCCCCCTGACCTGTGTCCTGGACTCAAAAAGGTTAGCCACCACCAGCAACTGCCTTCGTCCCTTATCTGCCCTCAGGTGGCTCCACCGGTCCACACTCCCTCATCACCTTCATACTGGCCCGGTCCCCTGTGTGGCGGCTGCCTGCCTGCTGCAGATCGGGCCACCCTCTACCATCCCGGGCACCTTGCTCTCCGTCCCCATGGCTCCCTGAGGACAGGGAAGTTATGCCCAATGTCCGTCTACATCTGTCCAGTGACCCATCCCAGGACCGGCCACCAGTGAGAGTGTGCCCAGGATGGAATGAGGGTGCTGTGCTGCCCAGGGATGGGCCTGCTGGGACTCCTGACTGGCTGCCCACAGACACTGGAGTCCCAGCCACGCGGGGTGGGGTGTGGGTCACAGAGGCCCAGGAGCCCTGCATGCTAATAGCGCCCTAGGTCACTCACAGCTAGGCGCTTCTGACTAACACCGGCCCCCACATGAAGGCTGGGGCCTCGGGGCTGGCCAGGCCTGATGGGCGGCTCGTCCTCACTCCTGCTGTCCTGGCGACCTTCCCTCACCACTCTGGGCCTCTGCCTCGGCCACGGCCACCTCCTCTGGGGAGGGTACTCCACCGGAGGTGCTCCCCCAAACCACCCACAGAATGATGCCCATGCCCACCCTGCCCCCGCCTGGAAGTCGGAGCCTGTGGGGTCCAGGCAGGCCTGGGTCACCTGTACCCTTACTGCCCCAGAATGAATCATGGCCTGTGGGGAGCCTGGAGGGACCTTGCTGTGCTTAGCGGGTGCACGGTGGGGAGGCATTGAGCGCGGGGGCAGGGGGGATGCATGAGGGTCCGTGGGGGGTCTTCCTTCAGATCACAAAGCAGCTTGGCCGCAGGATGGAGCCTCGGGTGGGAGGAGGCTGGCCCTGGCACGACAGCTCCACACACTTGCCGACACCTCAGGGGCCTCTGGGAGCTCCTCTCCTCTGTGAACACTTGGGGAGGAGAACCCACCTCCCAGGGTGCCAAGGGAGGGGAAGCCACGTCCCAAAGGCCCATGAGTCACCCTGCTTGCTGGGCCCTGCTCCAGGAGAGAGAACGGGACCTGCTCGAAGGGCCCCTCCCTTGGGACTGCTCCGTCCCTGCCGGGGACGCTGGCAATGATTTACCGCCCTGTGGGGCTCCCTGTTCCCCAGGTCTGCACACCAGCTCTGGAGGCCGCTGATAAACGAGTTACTGGCACGTGCCTGGCCGCGCACCGTGGGGACACCGACAGCTGCGGCCGGGCCACCCTGAACACGCTCGGCCCAACCCCACTGCACCGGGACCCTCAGGCTCCCAGCCTCAGCCCCCAGCCGCCTGGCCCAGCTGCGCAGCGCCCACACCTGGGATGGGGCCCCCACCGAGGGACTGGCCTGCTGCTGTCACAGATGGGGGGGGAGGGACCGAGTAGAAACTGGCCTTGGGAGGGCGAGGACCCTGTAGCTCGAGGCCCCCACCTTCCCGCACAGCCAGGCCAGGCCGCAGCTGCTGAAAGACCCCGCGGGATGAACGCGCTGGAAACAGAAGCCTCGAGCTCTAACGCTGTGGGCCGAGAACAGAAGCCAGGGGGAAGCCAGGGTGCTGAGTAAAGGGGAGACGAGCGCAGCCAGGGGCAGTGTGGGGACCGAGCCGCAGTGGGCTGGGGGTGCCAGGGCCACAGCGGGAGGCAGCAGGGAGCAGAATGGCACCCGGCAAGGCTCGGGTTCTCTGGGTGGCTCCCGGTACGGCTGAGCGTGGCCGTGGCAGGGCTGACACCCAGGAGTCTATGGCTGCCCATTCCCAGGCTGGGGATCCCAGCCTGGTGGCCTTCCTTCCACCAGGGGAACACTGGTCTCCCAGCCAGGTTGGCCCCAGCCTGGGCAGGGGATGGCAGCCAGAGGCAGATGGAAAGGGAGGCCAGGCTGCTTCCTCTACACACAGTGCCCCCCACAAGTCAGAGGGGCCCACAGCCTTCCTTTCCTGAGTTGGGGAGCCCAGAAAATGGAGGGGGTCCTCTGGCACAGCTGCCCCTCTCCGAGGAGAAGGAAAGGCCCAGCCAGGCACAGTCCCGCACAGACCCAGTTGTGGGAACAGGCCCAGGCTGGCCGTCCTGCCTGAGGGGGGAAGAGGTGGCCGTCAGGGGCAGCAGACCTTGGCTATCACAGGGCACAGGCTGGGCAGCTTTCAGGTGGCTCTGCTGCAGCCCCCCACTCCCACCCCTCGGGCCCCCAAGCACTCTCGGTGGCAGCCCGGGCCGAGCGGGGCCACAGTCACCCAGGGAGGCCATATGTTAAATCACATGACTTTGGCACAAATGGCTTCTGGCACATCTAACGAAGAGATAATGCCAGCAGGGTAACTGGTGAAGAGTGATGGTCTTCCTGCCACTGCCGCGCAACTGCAACAAAATCTGGGCCCCACGGAGGGAAAAAGTTGGGCCTCTGCAAGGGGACCCATTTATCCTCCACAGCCTGGAGATAGGGCCCAGCAGGAGCGCCAAGACATTAGTGTCTGATTAATGCCTCATCATTTATCTGTGCGACAGCTCACTACCATGTGACACCGTATCCAGGAGACTCTTCCTGCGGCTGAGTCCCTGCAGCGGGCGCACAGGTGCGAACCGGGGTGGCGTGCCCCAGGCCTGCGGGGGACCCCCTCCGGCCTCAGAAAGCAGGGCTCCCGCCGCCGCCCCCTGCCCAGCAACCCCGCCTGCGTGTTTTCACTCCTCCACAGCCAGGGGCTCCCCCCCAACACTGTTTTCAAATCGCACCGCTGGACACAACTGCTCGCCAGCAACCCAGAGCCCCGAGTGCCTCCCAGGAGCCCCGGGGGGGAGGGGCGGGGCACTGGGCAGGGCACCCCTGCTCGCGAGGGGCCGGCAGGGCAGGTCGCGCGCGCATCTGCGCCCACTGCCCCGCCGCCCCCCAGCCGATGACAATTCTGAAAACAGCCGGATTCAACAGTGCGTCTGAACAAAGAAAAGTGCGTTAATTATGGCAGACGTGCGGAGTTCGGCGGCCGGCGGCACACGGCGGCGGTGCGGGGACACGGGCTACGCGCCCCGCGCCGGGCCCCTCGGCGCCCACGCCGCTCCCGCCCGCGAGTCGCGGCGACTTTGAGAGCCACTTTGGCCCCCCGAGTGGCGGCCGCGCTCGCGCGCCCCGGGGCCCCGCGCTCGGGAAACCGAAAGCGGGCGCCGGCGCCGCGCCGCCCCCGCCCTGGAGCCGGTCCGGGCCCTGGGCCCCGCCGGCGGGGCGGGGGCGGCGGCGTCCCGGGAGACTCGGGGCGCCCCGGGGCCCGCGCCCCCGCCCCCGCTCACTTTTTCGTGCAGTCCAGCAGGATCCCGGCGAAGCTGCGCCCGCCGCAGCTCACGGTGACCAGCAGCGCGCCGTTGACGACCTGCTCCACCCGCACCGGCAGCCGGCAGCCGGCCCGCGGCTCCATGCTCCCGCCGCGTCCCGGCCCGCGCGCCCCCGCCCCCGCCCCGCCGCCGCCGCCGGGTCAGCCCGCGCGTGACGCCGCCCGCCGGCCGCCTGACGTCACAAAGCTCCGCTCGGGGCGGCCACCGCGAGCGGGCCGGGGCGGCGGGAGGGGCGCGCGGGGCACCCCCGCCCGCGGACGCGGGCCGCAGCCGGGCGCCTCGGAGGCGGCGCGGAAGCGCACTGCGGACCCCCGGGACGGGGCCGGACTGCGCCCTCCCCGGGGCCCCGCGGTCGCGAGCGCCCTCCCAGAGGACGTGCGGGCCGGAGCTCAGGACCCCCGCTCCGGGGCCAGCCCCCACCCCCCACTCCCGGCCCTGCCCGGCCCTCCGCCCCCCGCGGCCCCGCGCCCCCCGCCTCGGGTCAGGCGCCGGGTGGCCACCCGGCACGGCGGGGAGGAAGTCCCGGCAACGCCAGCAGGAAGCCGGTCGGGCCGGGCCGAGGAGACGCTGGCGCCGAGGGGACACGGGCGGGCGCCCTGCGGAGGGGGCACCTGGCGACCCTCGCGTGCTCGGCGCCGCCCCTGGTGCCCAGAGGGCGCGTGCCTGGCTCAGGGCTGCCTGTGCGCCTGACGGCGACCCGCGACGGCGTTGGGGAGGGGGATCCGTCCGCAGGTCTCCGTCGCGCGCCCCGGGGTCGCTGGGGAAACAGCGGGTTCTCTGCGACCCCGCCGCACCCAGAGAGGCAGGGGCCCCACGGGGCGTTCCCAGCGGAAAGGACCGTCTTTCCCGAGCGAGAGCGCGGCTCCCCACGCGCGAAGCTGGCCGGCTGGGGGAATGGGAGGTGCAGGGGCCCAGCGGACGTGGGCCCCACCCGGGACCCCTCCCCGCGGCCCTGTGCTCCCGCGCGCCTCCAGCCGGGCAGAACTCGACCGTGCCGAGCCTTTGCGCATCCCGCACCTGGCTCGGGACCCCATAACTGGCAGAGCCCCCAGGGCGGGCCTGTTGCGGTGACCCCGCCCGGGCCCAACCCCACCCGGCAGGACCAGCAGGTCCCCTGCGCCGGGCTCGTGGCGCCTGGCTGGGCGCAGGAGATGGGCGGGTGGTTGGGTTGTCCTGACGACCCGGACGCCGCCAGGCCCCGCCCCCCACCTCCCCCCTCCCTCCCGGAGCCCGCGCACCGCCCCGCCCCGCTCGGACCTGCGCCTTGGCCGCCACCCCTGGCGCCGCGGGGGACTGTCGGGGCGGCGGTGGCGCCGCTTCTCCTCGCCCTCCAGCGGCGGCCTCCCGGCGCGGGGAGCAGGCAGAGGGGAGCCCGGGCGGAGTCAGGCAGCCGCCGGGAGCTCGCCGCGCCTCACCGCCCCCGCTTGGACCGGGCTAAGGATCCAGGCCCAGGGAGCCCTAGGGGAGACCTAGGGTCCAGGGAGCACCTGTTCCCTGTACGGCTGGGTGAGAGGCTTCACGGGGAGGCTTCTGGGATCTCAACATGACCACCCGCTCAGGGTCAGCAACCCCCCCCAATCCCCGTCACTGTGGGGGCCCCCACAGGGAGCCTCTGCACCCACAGACCTGGGCAGCCTCCCCATTCCAGAGCTGGGCAAGGCTGACTTGGGGGCAGAAATGCCAGGCCACCCGTGCTGGCACCAGGAGGGGGACTAGCCAGAGGCTGCCTACCTGCTCCACACAGGTGCCAAGCATGCCCCAAATGCCTTCTGGGCCCTGGGGACGCCACCGGGGACCAGCTTGTTGGAGTTTGAGTCAGCTCCAGGACTGCTGGGGACATTCCAGGTGTGAGCATGTCCCCGTGGGCCCAGGGGGCTCCGTGTGGACAGGAGGGAGGCCTCTGGAAGAGGTGCCCTGAGGGGATGCCTGGGTGAGCAGGCAGCCACCAGGGGAGAAGGGGCCCCGCGGGGCAGCCTGGGGAGAGGTGCCGGGCGCTGGCCTGCACAGAAGGGCACCGTATTGTGGGGAGGTGGGTTCTTCTGGGGTCACTCCCAGGCAGTGGCAGGAGGAGCAGTCTGGGCTGGAGCCTGCTGGGACAGTGCGTGTATGCGGGGGCAGGGAGGGGCCCAGAGAGGGCGTGGAGGGCGTGCGGACCCACGCTGCACAGCTGAGTCAGGGAGCACAGGAGTCTTCTCCCAGCCTCGCCCCCCTGGGCTGTGTGCTCTGTACTTTCTAAGCGGAGTTGGAAGCCACTTTCAGAAACCCATTCTGCACAAGGCAGAACAAAGGGCTCTGCAGGCAGGACTTTGATTTGGAATTTAAAGGGTGACAGTTTGGGGGTCCCGCGCCCTGCAGACCATCCCTCCCAGCCCAGCCAACTCACCTGCTCCCGACCACAGAGCCTCTGATGAAGACAGATATCCTTAGAAGGGGGTGAATCAGCTCTGTGGGCCTGCGTGCCGACCCCATGTGCTGATTCCTTCCTGACCCAGGTCTCTCCCCTCTAAGTGTCCCTTCAAAGACGCAGGTTCTAGGCAGACCGGCCCCAGGCAGCAGGGACTGAGGGCGGCTGGCCCACTGTGAGCTGTCTAGCAGGGCCATGGGAGAGCTATAGAGTGACCCCCGGCTAAGGGAAAACAGGGCTGCGGCCACCTCCCTCAGTCCCTGGACTTTGTTCCTAAAGCCTCTGCTTTCTGCCCCACGCACTGGGGCCTCCCCCAGGCCTGCCCAGTGCCAAGCCCTTGGCCTGGCCTGCCCAGAGCCCCAGCAGAATCCTGACGGCCGGGGCGCCCCCCCTTGCCACGTCTTCTCACCAATGACCACCACATGACCCGCAGTGAGAGGCCCACAGAAATTCAGCTTGCCTGAGGCCCCAGGAGGCTTCCTGGGGCCTCATTCTCCTGACACCCGTTACCCTCCTCAGACACGTTCTGTGCTGTGGTCCTCGGCAGGCCCCCCACCAGAAAGTGGGGCGTCTGTCGGCTAGAACATCTGCTCTTCCCCACGGAACTCGTTGTCAGTCACCTCCGAGTTACAGCTCTCAGAGCTCAGAGGTGTCCTCACAGCCCACCTCGCTGAAGGCTCCATCATGCCTCCTGCTCTCAGCCCCCAGGCCTCCCGAGGTCCCCTCCAGGACAGGTACCCCCTCGCCCACGCCCAGAAGGTCAGTGGGGTACGCAGTATCGCAGGGAGAGGCCTGTGCTGGTCCTTTGGAGCCAAGTCCAGGGGACAGCATTCCCGGGCACACACCCAACCTTCCTGCGGTGACTGCGGAAAACCTCTGGCCAGCCCTGGAGGTCCCGTCCCAGCATGCCCACCCCCAAGTCTGCACTGCACTCCATAGAGCAACCAGCGATGCCGTCCCACTGGGAGGACGAGGATGGGGCCCCGCTGGGAGCACGGGGATTCGGGCCCCACGGGGAGGATAGGATGGGCCCCACCGGGAGCACGGAGATGGGCATGGCAGGCCTCCACCTCCAGCGTTCCACATCAGGGAGAAGTGGAGGTTACGGTCTCATGCTGGGAGGTAGGGGCTGTTTTCCCAGTGAGTTCTGCTTCCCATGATCCTCTGGCTCCCCAGGGACATGGCCAGCTGTTCTCAGCCCCATAACGTGCCTTTCTGTGTACTGGGAAACATGCAGCCCCAAGCCCTGAGACCGTCCCGGCGTTCTGCCCTGCGGGAATGGTGCAAAGAGCCAGCCTCGGTCTGGACACCCGAGAGGACAGACACCAGGAGCCACAGTGGCCCGTGCACCCCACGGACGCCCCGACCCAGTCCAGCAGCACCGCCAGCCCCTGCTGACATGGCACGACCTCCGTTAGACCCGGCGTGGGGGCCCCACCCTGACCCGCACACCACAGAGAGCCTAGGTCTGGTCCTGCTCCTCTCAGCAGGCCAGCCGTCCCCCCACCCTGATGACCACCTGTGGTTACCTGAAAGTACCTCTGCCCACGAGGCCTGGGGCCACGTCTTGGCCAGACTGTCACACTGTGGGCTTCTGAGACGCGGATGCGGGGGCAGGAGCATTTCTCCTGGGCTGGCGGGTGGCCACGTGGGGGATAGCGAAGGGCGCCTGCTCCCGACAGCATGGGTGGCTGGTGGGAAGAGAGGGGGCCACAGCCGTGGGCCAGGCATGACCCTCCCGAGGCCCCGGCCTCTGAGGAAGCCTAGGACGTCACGATGCAGGTGCCTGGTCAAGGTGGGCGGGCAGACGCCCCCGACGTCAGCCTGTGGGGTGGCCCTGCCCCGGCCCTGGGGACAGGCAGTTGCCCTCCTTGGTGTGTGCCCCGGGAGAGCCCAGCCTCTGTTCTGCCCGCTGAGCCCCAGAACTAACCCGAGGCGCCACCTGCAGGAGAACTGGGGCCACGGCCCCGAGGCCTGCGGGGTATGTGTGCGGGCCGTGGCTCTGCTCCGGGAGCAGGCCCGGGGTGGGGACAACTGGCCACGGCCCCCATCATCCCACCTCCCGGCACAATCTCTGCTCCCTGCCCGGGGCCTCCTGGCCCTTCCTTCAGCTCTTCCTTCCTCGCCGCTCCCAGGGCTGCTGGGCAGAGGAGGGGTCCTAGGACACACCGTCCAGGCCGTCAGGCACAGGAACTAGGGAAGGGGAGACACGAACACGCAGCAGGGGGGGCACGAGGATGTCGGTCAGGGGCCAGGAAGGGCTCCCCTGCCCCAGGCCAAGTCTACAAGGCCCCTGCCAGGAGCAGGGCCAAGCTAGGACGGGTCTCTAGTGTGACCCGTACCGGCCCAAGTTCCTGCAGCGTCGCAAGGCATGGTCGGTCATCTCTGCCTGCTGGCCGCGAGGGCAGACGTCATCCCAACAGCCCGTTCTTAGGAGGAGGGAGAAGGAAACCGCTGGCTAAGCCAGGGGAGGCTAAGAATGAGGGGTGAGGAGTGTCCCCGCGAAGGCAGCCTCTGCCCCAGGCTCCCTCCCCTCTAGGCCCATCCACCGGCCTCCCCTGGAGCTTGGGGGTGGGGCAAGCTCTGGAGGCTGTGTGGGGTCCCCGGGTAAGAGACCAGCTGGTGCTGGTCCCCTCAAGGGCAGCGGCACGGGAACAGCACACCAGGGTCTGGTGGGGGTCACTGGACCCAAGGCCTGGTCTAACCACCTCCCTCCCACCCAGAGGGCAAGAAGCTGAGAAGTCAAATGAAGGACATTTTCAAGGTTAAGGCCTGGAATTTATTTAACGCCCAACCAGCCGGCCCTGCAGAGAGGAAGCCAGGCTGGGCCTGCCAGGCCTGGGTGAGGAGGGCTGCGAGGGCGGGGCAGAGATGCGCCAGCAGGAAGGGGAGTCCATGGGAGAGGAGCAGTGCAGGGGCGGGGGGTGGGGGGCAGGCAGGGCGCTCTCGGACTTCCAACCGCCCCCCCCACCGAAACGCAGGAGTCAGCGGACACAAGGTCACATGGGTGACCGGGGTGGCAGGGGTGCGGGGAACAGGGGCTGACACGCAAACACGCCACCGCCCGATCGGCAGAGACAGGGGCCCGGGAGGGAAGACCGCATGGCCGCTTCCCAGACTCTCTCCTTTAATCCAGCTTAAACCCTGCACGGCCTTCAAAGAGCCGCAGACGAGGCCGTGAGAGGCAGCCCCGGTGGCGTCGGACCCCCCGGACACACGTGGAAGGGGCCCCGGAGGGCTCTGGGGCGGCTCAACCAGCTTCTCGGGACTGAAGGTTCCGGCACAAGCGTCCGCGCTCCGCAGTGTCTGTCGGTGTCCTCGGACTCAGACCACTTCAGGTCACACCACGTACCGCAAGGCCGGGAGGCGGGCGGCCGGAGTGGCCGGTGTCCGGCGAGAGCGCCCAGCCCCGGGCTTCGCGTCCAAGTCGGCCCAGCTCACGCGCCTCGCGTCGTCCGGCAGCTCTCTAGCCTTTTGGGAGAAAGGGAGGAGTGAGAGCGGGCGGGCTGCGGGGCCTGCGCGAAGGCGGGGCTGCGGTCCAGACGCACGGACCAGCGCACAGGCCAGCAGCACTCTGGCCCCGGGGCCGGAGCCCGCCTTCCCCGCGGGCCCTACTCGTCCTGGGCTGCTGAGCAGTGGGGCCAGCTGAGCAGGCCCTCTGTCCCTCGGCGGACAGCGGTCTCCTCTTCTGTCAGCCGTGAGCTGCTCCTCCCGGGGTTCCCATCAGGGCCCTGCCTGGCAGCTGTCGGAGTAAACGCCCGGCGAGGGAGGGATAGGGGTGCTCCTGCTCGCACGGCCAGGGTCGGCCCGTCCCTGCCCACGATCCCCCTCCCGAGACTCACGCCTGACCCGGGAGGGCAGGGCTGCAACTGCCCCCTCGTCCCACAGAAACAGCCACAGGACCAGGGGTCCCTGACCGCGGAGGGAGATCCCACGTTCCTCGCCAGTCTGCTGGGCCCTTGGGGGGGGACGGAGTGGCCAGCATCAAGGAGCAGGTCTTTCCTGCCTCTGCCCTGAGAGACGCTGGCCAGTGGGAACCTGTGTTGGCGGCACTGTGCCTGTCCCATCCCCCAAGGAGGGGCCTGTCCTCCGTGTTCCCCCGTGTTCCTCTGTTTGGCCTCCCTGGGGTGTGACCTGGACCCCGCCTGCAGCCCAGGCACCGGAGGTCCCTGCGTATAGAGCCGTCACAACGGGAGGTGACGGGAACATTCAGGTAATGTCACAAAGACTAGGAGAGCTCTCCACCTGCCCACTGTGGCACGTGGGATTCGGGGCGCCAGCCCTGCACGGCCCCAAATCCGCGGGTAACTCTTCATTCCCCCAAACTTCACGAAGAGCCCACTACTGGCCAGAGCCACGGTCCACGAGTACGTGCTGTGTGTGCCGTGTGGGTTCTCCCAGGAAAGATGACCCTTGCTGCGCCGTCCCAGAGATGACATGCCCCGGTGAGGGTGCACTGGGGTTGCCCCCTGGGCGACTGTAGTTGCTGCCCAGCCAGCAAGTGTCCACTGCAGACAGCTTTTTCCCCGTAGAAATCTGTGTTCTCTGTGGGTTAAGAACTGCTCCTTCGAAAGGCTTCCCTTGTCTTCGACACACTTGTCCCGGGGTCCTCAATGTCCTCTGCCCTTGGCCGGGTGCTCAGCCTCCTCTGCCTGCCCAGGAGATGTCCTGCAGGCTCCTCGCCACACTCCGGCCTGGTGACCTGCACGGTGGGCCGCCTCGGGGCTCCCGGGCGCTCTCCTGGTCAGCGGCTTTTGTTCTGGAGCATCTCCTCTTTCCCGCTCTGCTGCCTTGTTTGGAGAAACGCGGCCTGCGGCGGCTTCCCAAGGAAAGCTGCGTGGAAAGTGCTGTGTCTGCGACCCCGCCCGCGAATGCCCCGTCCTCTGCGGGCCCCTGGCCTGGTACCTGGAGCACAGCACTCCCCCGTCCCCAGGGGGAGGAGTCCACTCCTGTTCCTCTCTCCCGGCCCTTCCCTGCGCCCTACTCCCTCCCAGCAATCTCAGGTCTCAGTTCCAAATCAGACTGCTCAGAAAAGAGGCTTCATTCCTGCAGAGCCGTCTTCACGGCCCACCAGCTGGGACATCGGTCACGATCCAGGAACTGACAGGGTGTGTCATCCTCTGGGGTCTGCAGTGCCCGCCAGGGCTCACTCTTGTGTTGTACAGTGACAGGTGTCCGTCACTGCGCGGTCGCAGTGGCTCCGCTGCCCTGAGCGCCCTGCTCCTCCCTCCCGGCAACCGCCGGTCCTCCTCCGTCTGCAGAGTTGTGCCTTTTCCAGAACGTCATACAGCTGTCACCTTCTCAGCTTGGCTCTCTCACCTGGTAACGTGCATTTGCAGTTCCCTCAGGTCTTTCTATGGCATGGTAGCTCATTCCTTTTTAACACCAGATGATACTCCGTGGGACCCGTAGACAGAGTGTCTCGACTGTTCCTGGTGACAGAGTGAAGCCACTGCAGACATCCGTGAGCAGCTTTAGCGGGGACCGAAGTTTTCAGCTCTTCCAGGTAACTGCCAAGGAGCACAACTGAGTCTCAAGGTAAGAGTACATTTGATTCTGTAACAAATTACCAAACTGTTGTCCCAAGTGCTGGCACCGTCCCGCATCCCCACCAGCGGTGACCGAGAGCTCCTGCAGCTCATACCCTCACCGGCCTCTGGCGGGTCAGTGACTAGGGTTAGAGCCGTCCGCATGCCTGCCAGTGCTATCTCTTCATTTTAACATGCAGTCCCCTAATCACGTACACTAGCGGCATCTTTTCCAGTGCTTCACGCCTCTGCATCTTTTTTGGGGAGGCGTCTACTCAGACCGGATGCTTGAACTCTGTTGTTTGTTTTCTTTCTACAGTCTGGGTAGCAGCCCTTTATCTGGTGGTGTGTTTTGCAAGTATTTTCTCCAAGTTTCTGGCTTGTCTTATTCTTTTCACAACATCTTTCATAGAGAAAACATTTTATATTTTAAAAGAAGTCAAGTTATCAATTTTTTGTGCAAAACCTTTGGTGTTGTTCTATGTAAAAACTCCCTGCCAACCCGAGGTCACCTGCCCTTTCTCCTGTTGTATTTCCCAGTGTTGCCGTTTCACGTCTTACATTTCGGTCTGTGATGCACTTTGGGTCAGCTTCCGTGAAGGTGCGCGGTCTGGCTCTCGACTCCTCATCTCGCACGTGTCCCAGCACCATCTGCTGAAGACGCCGTCTTCTCTCCACTGTGCCGCCTTCGCTCCTCTGTCCAACGTCAGTCTCTGCACTCACTGGGTCTGTTTCTCTGATGCACTGGCCCGTCTGTCTACTTTTTCACCAACGCCACACCGTCCTGACTACCGCACTTCGCAGGGAGCCTTGAGGCCGGGTAACGCCAGTCTCCGAACTTGTGCTTCCCCTTCAGCGTCCGTGTGATTCTGAGCCCGAGTGTCCTCTCCATCCACACGTCAGCATCGGGTTGTCGATAGCCGCAGCACAGCTTGCTGGGATCTTGATTGGGACGGTTTGAATCTCTGGTCTCCCCATCCATGAACATGGGATTCCTCTCCACTCACTTGGTTCTTTGATTTTGGCATCAGAGTTTTGTTTTCTCAGATGGATCCTGACATATTTTGTTAGATTTGTATCTAGCACCAGGTGCTAATGTAAATGTTCTTAAATTTAAATCCCACTCAGTTGCGGATGTACTGGTAAACAATTGGTTATTATAGATTAACCTTGGACCCCGCAATGTTGCCATGACCACTTCTCAGTTGCAGGAATTTTTTGTCAATTCTTTTGGGTTTTCTACATAGACAATGATGTAATTTGAAAACAAAAACAGTTTTAGCTCTTGCTTCTTAATGTGTGTATCGTTTACCTTTCTTGTCTTGTTGCAAAGCTAGGACTTCCCATATGATACTGGGGAGAGATGTTCAGAAGCGACGTCCCTGCCTTGTTTCTGACCTTCAGGGGAAAGGGTGGTTTCTAGTTTCTCACCACGAAGGATGACGTTCACTGTAGCTGTACGTTCCTTATTAAATCGAGGAAGTTCCACTCGTTTCCTAGTTTGCTAAAAGCTGTTATCACAGATAGGTGTTGGTTTTGTCAAATGTTTCTTTCTGCATCCACTGACATGATCATGTTATTTTTCTTCTTTAACGTTACATAAATTCACCTTCAAACGCTGAATCACCCTTGCACACCTGGGATAAACTGCACTTGGTCATGGTGTCTAATTCTTGTTATATGTTGTTAAGTTTCATTTGCTAATTTTTTTGAGGATTTTTGCATCAACATTCAGGAGAGAACTGTAGTTCTCCTCTTATGTGACACCTTTGTTCTGTTATCAGGGAAATGCTGGCTTCATGGAATGAATTATGACTTTTTTCCTTCTGTCTGTATTTTCTGGAAGAGATTATAGAGAGCAGGTATAATTTCTTCCTTAAATGTTTGATAGAATTCACCAGTGATCCCAGTGGAAAATTATTACTGATTCAATTTCTTTAATGGCTAGCCATCCGTTCAGATCATCTCTTCCTTCTTGTGTGGGCTCTGGCAGGTGGTGTCTTTCCGGGAACTGGTCCATTTCATGTTAAGTTATCAGGCTTGTGAGCACAGAGCTGTTCCTACCACCAAACAGACTTTCGCTCCACAATGTGAAGCTTGAGACACAGACGTTTAGAAGCCGTAGGTTGGGTTCGGGGTATTTAAGGAGGAGGTTACAGCTGTAGACAATGGATCTGGAGAGAATAAAGCTGACCCGAGGGCAGGAACAGTTCTCTGGGCTGGGCAGGAAAAGATTCTGAGAGGAGGGGAGAGTCTGATGGGGGATCCCCATGGCATGGCCCAGGCCCTCTGCCTGCTCTCCCTCTTCCCCTGTCCCACCCCAGGCCCACGGAGACAGAGGACAATGGAGCCCTCCGATGGGCTCTGCGGGCAGCTTCGGTGCGGAGCCGCTGCATCCGCGGTGAGACTCACAGGCCAGAGTGCAGCAAGGGCATGGACGCATCTGGGTCAGCCCACACAGACTCTCTGAGTCGGTCACTCTAGCGAGGGAGCATCTGGGTAGGTAACTGCATCGTTCAGGGCAGGAAGCTGCCATCACTCTCATGACCCCGACCGCTCCTGCACACACAGCAGGCACCTACCAGGACCTGCGGACGGATGCACATGGCCAGCGGCTGCGTGAGAAGAGGCCAGCCTCCACACCACACCAACACTGGCGAGGCCGCGGCCTGGATGCAGCCTCTCACGGCCCTGCCAGGCTCTGCTGGGCAAGAGGCGTCAGTGAGGACCCCACAGGCGCGTCCCTATCGTCCCCACTGATCACGTGGTGGCACAACGCATCTGTGGGCTCAGTTACTACGGAAACACTCCCCTGTCCTCTAACCGGGATCCCGGGCACGCGGTAAACGGTCCCATGCTCGGAGAGAACACGTGCTCTGAAAAGGTGTGACACGTTCCCAGATTCTTCCCAGAAGAGTTTACTTTTACACACAGGCGACAAATACTCACAACCTCCCAATCCCGTGTGGCCGGCCCGATTTCCTCGAGGGGCTCCATCCCCTGAAACCATCCTCTGCCCTCGTGTGCTTTGAGTCTGCTGTTTTGGGTTTTCTTCCGGACACTCCTCTTGGAGGGCGCTGGGGACACGAAGGGTGAGGGAGAGAACTTTACACGTCGCGTCAAGTCTCAGCAACTCCTCTGCCAACACGGGGGAGAACATGTTGCTTTTCCCTCCAGGCCACACTGTGGTCCCGGGGCTCAGGAGCGGTCACGACGCGTGACGACGCAGTGACGGTGCGGCCACGAGAGGCCACGAGAGGCCACGAGAGGCTACCTGCTCCCCCTCCAGGCAGCGGCTCGGACAGGCCTAGGTGTTTAGAAGTGGCGAGAACACACACTATGTTGTCAACTTCAAGTCTAGGTAAGAAATGACACATTCAGGACAGAAAGCCACACGCAGGGGAAGGTCTCCGTTTTCATAGGAAACACAGAGTTGTAGCAGATCCTTAAACAGGACGTATTAGACCAGGATTTTAGACACACTTGCTCTGCCAACATCGGGGATTTGGATAACACGTATTCTTGTCTTTAAATACAAGGACGCTGAGAGGGCAGAGCATTCCGGAAGGGCGTGTGGGAGGGGTGGCGGTGCCCGGCGTGCACCCTCGCTGTGGAGCCCGCACTGAGTCTGCTGGGAATGCAACCAGCTCCCCCTGGCCGGGTCCCTCCCTGAAGGTCCGGCCCCACCCCTGCAGCAGGGTCTGTGCTGGCTTGGCAAGCTCCTCCCAGCAGCCCCCCAACCCTGCCCCACGTGTCCACGCCGCTGACCCTGACTACAGGGTGGTCGGAGGCGGGGGCCTTCTGACAGCGACACTCATGAGCTCTGAGGGGACATGTGCTGTCCGTGTTCCTCTAAATCATTCCACATGGCTGGAGGTTCATCCCATGTGCCGACCGGCAAGACTGTCCCCAAGTGTTCTAGGCACGAAGGAGGCATAACTCCCCAGTAAGGACAGCCCTTCGCAGTTCACGTGTCACAGGCCTCTCGCATCACACCTAGTCTGCAGCGCCCTGGAACACACAGCGGTGGGCGGTGACAGCACATGCAGGCCAGGCGGTCAGGCCGGTCCCCTGGCAGGCCCCCCCACACCCACAGCTCACTTCCACTTGGGCTTTTGGCGCCCAGAGTGGGGCTGGTGCAGGACAGACGGGAGCAGCTGGAGAAGCACGAGGGGCCCAGGAGATAGTGCGGAAGCCCCAGGGTCTCCCAGCAGTGTCCCCGGCTGCCCGTGGCTCCCCAGCGGGCCTGGGGGGTGGTGCTGGGTGCAGAGCGGTGGAATCACAGCTCAGTGCCTCGTGTGCAGAGGCAAGAAGCGAGCGGTTCCTTGGCCAAATGCACACGCGCACACAGATTTGGCTCGGGTAGGTCACCATGCCAACAGCGCCTCGCAGCAGCTGGAGACGGGTGAGGGGCTCAGCGGGCATTCCCGGGGGCCAGACACTAGGTCGGCATCGGGGCTGAGCGAGCACGCCGCCGAAGCGTGAACACAGGTGACGACAGAGATGCAGGCCCCCCAGCAGCTGTCCCTGTGGGGGAGCGTAGGGACCGCCCCCACTCCCCGGAGCAGGCAGGGGGCCGGGCCCTCGGGAGCTGCCCATGAGCACTGCACGGGGAGGGGGGGCGGGGGCGTCTGCGTAACTTGGACCCTGGGTACCAACCTCTTGTCTTTACTTGCTTTTGACGACTTCTCTTTGCTTGACCTCATTTTTCCAGATGCATTTGCTGGCATTTTCTCATTATCTATCAAATCCACGGCAAAGGGAATCTTTGAGCCCACCTGGGAAAACATCAGACGTCTTCAGGAATCTGCGGGAGCACTGCCGTCCACACAGAGCCAGGCGCCCGGCCGTGCCCATCCTTCCTCCACTGGCCGCGGTCTCGAGGAAGCCACGCGCCACCCACTCCTGCCCCAGGTTGGCCAGACGCGGGCCGTGGGAGAGCAAGGTGGCAGGCGCGGGGATGCCAGGAGGGCCAGGAAGTGAATCCCTGCCCGAAGTTCAGTCACGTGCATGAAGGCCCCAAGTCTCCCCCGCGGACGCAGCTCTGTTCTCGGCTGCTGAGTTTCAAGTGAGTGCAAGCGCTCGCCCACTGCTGAGAGGTGGACAGAAGGGAAGTCGCGTCCTTGCAGAGCCCGTGTCATGAGTTCGCGGCTCTTAGATCAATGACATCATGCACCCACACAAATAAATGTTGAAGACCCAAGAGCAGTGCTTCAGTGTTGGCTTTTTGGGACACAGCGCACGATGATTCCAAGTGAGAACTGCAGCGTCCACGGGACACAGGTGGAGAGGAGGGAGAGATCTCGAAGACTCCCCCACTCCCGGGGGGTGAAGTCTGAGAGCAAGACTGATCTCTCCCCAGCACAGGGGCATAGACCTGTGTGTGTGTGTGTGTGTGTGTGTGTGTGCGCCCGCATGCATGCACCTGTGTGTATACCTGTGTGTGCACGTACCCGTGTGCGCTCCTGTGCGCGCACCCCTGCCTGCGTAGCTCTGTGCGTACCTGACTGTGCCTGTGTGCTCACCTGTGCCCAGGGATCCATGTGCGCATGCACCTGAGTGCAGCTGTGTGCACACCTGTGCCTGGGGATCTGTGTGTGCGCGTGTACCTGCGTGTGCACCTGCGTGTTTGTGCTTCTGTCTGTGTGCCTGCCTCTGAGGAGGCATGCCCCTTTGGCTGTCAGAAAGTTGGGCAGGGGAAGGGCAGGGCAAGTGCAGGGGTGTGGAGAAGGGCAGGGTGAGCTCTGGCCTTACTGGGGCCGCCTCCAGTAGGCATCTAAGTGGGATCAGTGTAGCGCTTACCCAGACCGTGCCCGCAGCAGTCTCACGAGCGCGGCACCTCTAAGTGGATTACGGGCACCTGGTCTGTCTGGTCGTCACATGCCTGACCCTTAGAAGATGCTTAACCCCCCTGGGGCGGGGGGGCAGAGTGAGAGGAGAGCCGGAGCTGACCCACTTTCACATAATGAGGACTTTCCAAAATGTTACTCCAACAGGAAGAAAAGAACAAACGTAAATTCACTAAGTGCTTTTCGAAGTCTGACACACAACTTCATTTTGTTTAGCATAAAAGTACATTACTCGGAAAGAAGCCCCAGCCATGTTTTACTCTCTGTAAAGCCTGGAAAAAGACTTTCCAGATCCCCAGCCCTCTGCCGAGAGCAAGGACTAGGGGCCGGGTGGGAAACAAGGTGGCTGGGTGGTGCCCTGTCCGTCCCCTTCCCTGCAGGCCCTCAGCCCTTCTGTGGGGTGGGAGGACGACGACACACGAGGACGGCACAGAGCCTGATGTAGCCATAGCCATGTCTTGGGGAGGACTCGCAGGGCTGGCTCTCACTGGGAGGCGATCACCTGGTAGAGGACAGTGCAATCCACAGGCGTGTGTCTCTGTGCGCGGATGCCTGAGCCGGCCGAGCCTCCGTCCTGCTTGCCACCATCAGCTTTCCCCTTCTGGGGACTGCCCCTTGCCCACTTTTCTACCAGATTCTTTAATTTAAAAGTCTATTTGTGGTCACTCTTCATAGATAACTTTTGTCTCAACGCATGTTACAAATATGCTCCTCTATCTTTTGACTTTATGGTATTTCAGTCCATCTAGAAGTATCATTTTAATGAACCTAAAATTTTCCATCGTCAGTCCCAGAACTTCTGTATTTCTGATTTACAAAAACTTCATGTCGTTCCAGGTCGTACAAACACTCCTCAGTTTCCAGGCTAGAAAAAGCAACAGTGATTGTGTTCAGTATCTCCACGTGGCTCCCAGGTCTGCAGCACGGGGTGACCATCTCGCAGAGCATCACGGGAGTCATATCTCCAACGAGTTAACCTGCAAGAAGTTAGCTCCAGTGATGCCCCCTGTGGGCACACACCCCCAAGGGCTGAGCGCAGGGACTCCAACAGGTGTCTGCACCCCCGTATTCACAGCAGCCATAGGGGGCAGGGACCCGAGCGCCCAGAATGAAAGGATGGGGTGTCGAGTGTCCCGCAGCCTTGAGAGGAGGGACAGGCTGGCACCTTGGGGACGCCCAACCTGAGCAGAACAAAAACAGCTGCTTCTCGCTGGGCCCAACAACGAGGTGGTCGGGGGAGAGTCCAGGAGAGGGGCTAGTGGGGGCAGAGAGCACGTCTCCCTCCAGGAGCTGGGGGCACCAAGGGAGGGCCTGGGCAGTGAGGTGCCCTGCAGAATGCTGCCCGGCCTGGACCCCGGCCTTGGGTCTCAGGGGAAGCTGGTGGAAGGAAGGGGTCTGTGTGCCACAGCAAAGTGCCTGGGAGGCTAGGAGCAGCAGACGTGGGCCCACAGAGGGGGCAGCAGGCAGAAGTCCCTGTTCCGCTGGTGGAGGACACAACCAGGGCAAGTGTGGGCGGTACCGGCCCTTCTGGTGGCCTCTCTCTTCTCAAGGTCACCTGCTAAGTGAATGGTAAAGTCCAGAGGAGCAGTCGGGCTTGGCAAGGTCGGGGTAAGAAGGGGTGCGTGAGAGGGCGAGGGGGAGGCCAGAATGCTCCCAACCCACAGCTAGCAGGGCCCCCACCGCCAGCAGAGCTGGGGAGCGCTGGGCAGGGCTGAGAAGGGACAGCTGGGCACGTGCAGAGTCCTATTTCCAGGCAGGACCTGGGTGACAATGGGGTGCGGGCACTGGGCTGGGAGCGGAGCCAGCGGTCTTGGGGCTCAGGGAGGGCAGGGCAGGAGCTAAGACTGGTCCAGCGGCACTTGGCAGCACTGGGCACGGACCGGCTGGTGGTCTGAAAGCATTTATCTCCTAGTGGCTCTTGGCAGTGGTCCTGTGTTGTGGTCGTGCTGAGTCCTGGTCCCTGAAGGACACACACTAAGCGTCTGCAGGGGCAACGACAGGACGCGTGGGTCTCTCTCAGCTGCGGCGTACAGGGAGAGGGTCTGCAGAACCCCACGAGGCACCTGGCCCTTGCGTCACCCTCCTCTGTCCCACGTGCTTGGAAATTCCCATCAAGGCGGTCAAGTGTGTTGTAGCCTTGGCAAGGCGAGGGCCTCCCGTGCGAGCAAGGACGCGGCGGGGCGGCGGCCCCTTGGGCAGGTGCGGTCAGCTCGGACGAGAGCATGACCTGTGCTGAGGCCAGCGGCTGGGCGCTTTCTCCGGGCTCGGTGCCCACAGCTCCCGGAACCCTTACCTCCATGCCCACCGTAGGCTGGCTTCCAGCTCGCGGGGTAACATCTCCAGCCAGCAGCCCACAGCCCAGCTCCATCCTGACACCGGCCCCGGAGGGTGGCACAGGCCCCCCAGGAGCAGGGCTCGGTCCCTCAAGCCGGGCTGCCCCCCGTGCTGCCGGCTGACCACCGGCCAAGCAGGGCTCCCACCACCGCACAGAGTGAAGAACTCGCCAGAGTGGCTCGTGGAACTTGGACACACCTGCTCATGCGCACTGCCCGTCCCAGAGGCCCTGAGGAACAGCTTCCGGAAGCGCCACACAGAGCGAGGCCCTGGGACAGGCGTGGAGGCGCAGCCCCACTCCGGTGACCAGTCGCGGGGCCAGGCCACTAGGGCCCCACCCTGAGACCCCCGCGTGCAGAGACTCAGCTGTGCTCCCCGGGTCTCATTATGAATAAGAAGACATGCCAGCAGCCCTGGTGCCACGGGGTGTCACAGCCTTGTGGGGACAAGGAACACACGTGTCCTCGTCAGGCCACAGCATACGCTCTCACAGACCAGCGTGAGTTTCCGCTGTCTCCACCTGGGCTGTTTTAACTGGTAGGAACTCGGAGAAACGCCAGTCGGTAGGTACCAGGCCAACTCGTCCTTCCCGGCAGCCGTAGGGGTAACCCGTAACTGGGGTGCTTAGGGCCACCCCCCCGCTTTCCCAAGTGTCCAACTTTTTGTAAAAACGAAGCTCTGAAGATGTTCTTTAGAGTGTCTGCCTGTGCAAGTCTGTTCTGAAGATGATGAAACACAAGTTCTGAATGTTTATGGGACGGAGGGGACAGGACGCGGACCCCAAAGACCCCGCGACAGCAGCAGGCGTGTGCGCCGGGCAGGAGCAGAGGGCAGCCCGCCCCAGCGCGGGGACGAGGTGAAGGATGGGAAGTGTGGCCTCCTTCGAAGTTGCTTTGGCTTTGCCGTCGCTCTAACAGTTTCCGGAGACGACGGGTTTGGGTCCAGGACGAGTCTGAGAACCAAAGGCTCTGCTGTCTCCCGGGAGAGGTCTCCCGCGCACGAGTGCAGGTAATGGAGCGCACGCGGATTCTGTGGGAAAGGCCGCAGTCCCAGCCCCGCCTGGCACTCTGAGGACCTGGGACCCAGGCTACGCAGGCAGGATCCAGGACCCCGACCACACCGGCTTCGGAAACGTGCGTGTCCTCCCGTTACCCTGCTTGCGGGCCAAACCATTGCTTTGCTTAAACTGACAAAGGCCACGGGCAAGGCGAGGCGGCGTCACTCAGCACAGACATTCCTGGCAGGAAGGTGCGAGCTGGGGCGCCTGCGGCAGACCAGAGCCCGCCTGGAGGACAGTGGGAGGAAGGGCGCGGGGATGCCTCTGCACACCGCCCAGTGTCCCCCAACAATGGGCAGCCGCTAAGGGGACGCAGACCCGCAAACGGGAAACAGGTGGATGGACACCATGAGCCCCAGTGCATCCCAGAGAGAAAGGACGGCCCCTCTGTGGTATTCTCGGTGAGACACGATGCCTCCGCCCAGTTGTAGAAATCACCCGACGACACAGCTGGTCTATGTGCCCGGAAGGGCAAGGCGGGCGGACACGGGGCCAGGGCAGGCTGTCCCAGCAAACCCGGCGGCCCTCCCATGGACGGCGGTCTGTGTGGGAGTGAGAGCTGGGGCGGGGGTGGCTACGTGGACAACACTTTGCCGTCCGCCACAGCGACCTCCACCCAGAGGACGACAGCACAGACATGGGGCAGTCGCGAGCAGGTGCCGCCTCCTACAGGACAGGGTTGAAGCCACCCTGGGGACTCACGGGGGAGGGAGCTAGCTGGGTGCCCCAGCTGCCTGCGTTCAGACCCGTGGGGGTCTGGGCAGACACGGGGGGACACGCGCACTCAGGGGAGTGTGCCCCCTACGACCTGGGAGCTGGCGTGCAGGCACAGAGGGGACGGCCGTGCAGCCCCCCACCCTGACCCCCAGGCTGCCCCAGCCTAGGACCCCCAAAAGGACACTGTGGTGTGCCTCAGCCTTAGGGTGGGGGTACTTGTCCCCTCCCCTCCACTGGCCAGAGACCCGACTCCTCACACGGGAAGGACACAGTCCGGTCAGAGGGCCGGCAGGAGGTGGCCGGGCTGCAGGGGGTCTGCTTGTTCTCTGGCCTCGGGCTCCGTCTGCATAGCAGGGACCACCATGCCCCAGGGCTGGATAGGACCCCTCCCCCCCAGCCCCCCGTACCAGACTCCGCCACAGAGGCAGGGGCTCGCTCGGCGCCTCCTCCGCCGTCCTCCTGGTCTGGGCGTGCTCCCGCAACTCCCGCAGCACTCGCTCGTCTCTGGGGCAGGGGGATACGCGGCACCTTAGCAGCATAGCCCGAAACAGCCCCAGCAGAGCTCTGCCCCAAACCCGTTCCTGTCCCTCCACCCAGACACATGGGAGGAGCTCGTCTGCTCCTGTCCTGAGGCTTTGTGCAAGGGGACAAGCAGGAACCCCAGCCCCTGCCAGCAGCAGTATCAGGACCCTGCTCCCAGAGAACAGGCCGGGTTCTGGCTACCAGCTCGGTGTCAAAGGCCTTCATGGTCCCCTCCCTGCCCCTGCACCATCACCCCCCTGCCCCCCTGCACGGCGACGCCCCCCGCACCGTCACCCCCCTGCCCCCGCACCGGGCCCTCCCGGCAACAGCACCCCTGCCTTACTGCCCGCAGCACAGAGGTGAGGCTGAGCAGCAGACGTTTGCGACATTTCTGAACTGAACGTAAAAGCCAAGCCCTGGCTCGGCTGTGGAGGCTGCTCTGGGGACAGGACGGGGTCCCAGTAAGTCCTCGCTGGTCCCGGGCTTCACCCACAGCACACTCGGGCGTCCCCTGCCTTCCTCTCCTGCAAGCACGCTGCTGTGCCCTCCCAGGGATTCCTGAGCCCCTGCCTCAGCCAAGCCGAGCTCTCCGCTGCTCCACATCCACGGCCGCACCCCTTGCTGTGCCCCTGGACACGAGGCCTCCATCTGAGCGTCTTGGAGAAATAAGACGGAAGGGACCCAGCCTTTCCGAGGTCCCGAGGTGAGGTTCTTAGGTGGTGTGACGGTGGCCCGCAGGCCGTGCTGAGTCGAACAGAGCCACAGGACAGCACTCTGCCCGCGGCCACCAAGGAGGCCACGGAACATCATCTCAGGCCGATGGCAGGGAAACCAAGAAGAGAGCGTTCCCCGCCCCTTGAATTCAAGAGCTTCTTTCCACAGAGGAGTGCGGCACTGCGGGCAGCGCCTGAGCCCGCCATGCTGTTGGGCAAGCGGACTCCCTGCCCCCTGCATCCCACCGTGGCCAGCGTTTCCCCAAGCGCCAGCGCCCTGCACACTGTCCCGTATACCGTCCGGACCACAGGCTGGTCTGGGAAGGGCAGAGATGCCACACAGGCAGGTGCTGGGGCGGCCACTGTCACAAAATGCCATTAAGAAATGGGGCACAGTGAGGGAGGAGGGGGACGCACCTGCAGCATGGAAAGGGAGCAGTGAGGGGAGGGCTGGCACCCTGGCGGTCAGGGTCAAGTCCGTGCATTTGCTCTGGGAGGGCTCCGTCGTGAGCCCAGACACGGGTGTGCCAGCTCTGCAGACCTGCCCTGCCTGCCCTGGAGCCCGGACTCCTGCCAAGGGCCTCTTTGAGGGTTCTCGGGGGGATGGCCTGAGCTCAGGCTGGGTGGCGGCCCGGCACCTGTGGGCAGGCGTGACCCTGCCGGGATGGCAAGGACTCCCAGTGCAGCACCGACACACCCCTGAGGGTCACCCCAGCCCAGGGCTGGGAGCCCTGTGAGCCCTGCAGCTCTGAGCGCCCGAGTGCTCCCTCCTGCCATAGAGGGACTGGATCCCCAGGACAGGGTGCCTTCTGGGGTGGGGACCGGGCAGGTGCACCGCTGACACACTGAGTTTGCCAGCAAGTCTGTCCCCATCAGGGTGCTGAGAGAAAATATGCTCATGCGGGATGATTTTAAGGGCTGAGGAAAGTCTGTTCTCAAGGGCAGCGGTGGGTGGCCCCCAGGGCCAGAGCAGGAGCCCGGGGCTGGAATAGGGGCTGCAGCCACCCCAAGCCCCAGGAGGAGGGACTCAGGTAGACTCACAGGGAGGTGCTGGGGGAGAAAGACCCTGACCTCCTTCTCTCCCTCCTCTCCAGTCTCCTGTTGGGGCCCCCACTGGCCAAACCCAGCCAGGAGAGGGGCACTGGGGTCCTACGGACACAGTCCACACTGGGTGGCCTCCCGGGGCCCAGAGCTCAGGGGAGATGGGTGGTCGGTGGAGCTGGAGGACAGAGGCGGCCGTGAGGACAGGCCCCAGCTGGGCTCCTACGGGGCAGACCAGATCGCCGCAGCCAGCGACACGGCCCGTGAGGCGGGACAAGAGTGGGCTGTCTCTGAGCGCGCGTCTGTAGTGTGGACCTTTCCTTAGAACAGAGCTGTGAGCCAGGTGACTGGCAGGAGGGGAAGAGGGGCGGAGAGATAAGCAGCCAGAGAAAAAGACGGCAGGCGGGCTGGAGAGGACACGGGGCAGTGACGGCCCGAGGCCTGTGTCCACGGCGGCCCGAGACCAAGCCAGATGAAGAGTAGAAGCCAGCCCTTCTCCAGAGGAGTCGCCACCAGCAGGCCTGGCCCCAGAACCCTGTGGGAGCAGGGCCACAGCCGTGCGGACAAGCACTCACCGTCTCCGCTGCCCTGTCTCCGCCTGCTTCTCCCGGTGCTCACGGATGGCCGCAGTCCTGGTCTCCTGGGGCCTCCCGGTGGGAAGCCCAGCGCGCTGCAGCGATGGCGCCAGGGCTGGCGGGACACTCCTGACGGAGGGCAGCTTCTTCCTACAGTCCCAGCCCCGGCGAGGCACACTCGCCCTCGGAGGGCCCGTGCTAGAACACAACATGCACCGTGTACAAGCAGGGCCGGGGGGACAGATGGCGTGACGCGGCTGCCCTCCCCGGGCCCCACAGCCGGGCGCCAGGGGCTGCGGGCCGGCTCTGAGTCCGAAACACCCGCAGAATCCCGGAGCGCTTGGGCCGGGCAGCCGGGACTCAGCAGGACGAGCTCCCGGCCTTGTTCAGAAGCAGATCCGTGACCGGGGGAGGACGGGGAGGGAGAGGTTTCTACGCGGCAGGCGTGGGACTGTCAAGGCCGTGTCATAGCCGGGCACCCACCTTACATGCTTCCACTGCTTCCGAGATGGTCACCCGTTAATCAGACCTCACAGAGTTTTCAAGCCCCAGAACCGGGGAAAGAACAGCGTGATAAACCCCGAACACCCCCCGCGCAGTAAACGCGAGGTTTCTGTCTGCTTCTCTGCGCGGCTCGGCCCTGACCGCGCACGCTCTCCCGTCCAAACAGCCCGTCCACAAAGCTGGACCCTCAGACACGCTGGACACGCGTCCTTGTGTCCACAGAGCTCAGCTGTGCAGCGCCGTGAGCCAGAGCAAGCACGAGGGTTCTGCGGCCCCCGCCCCCGCCCCCAATCCCTGTCCCGGCGGAGAGGCTCCCCCCCGCCCGCCCCGGGAACACGTGGTCTACATTCACGGGTAAATACTCCCTTTACATTTATGTTCACACTTGCGTGCGCACGGACACACACACACACACACACACACACACGGGGTCTTCTCTTGTGTAATCCTCACTGGGGTCCACGCTCTGGGTAACCACGATCCCAAGCCAGGCTTGGCGTGCACTGCACAGTGAATGCGGGCCAGGCAAGCCTGGCATCCGAGAAGTTAACTGCAAAATCACATTACAACTCTGGAAAGATCCAAACACACGCCACAGCTTCTGAATTTTACCTCGACACGTGTCTCGGGCTGGAATGCTCTTTCTCCTTCGTGTTTAGGGCTGCCCTGAGGTTTGGGGGCAGCTCCAGCGGTAGGAGCTGGTTTTCAAGCAGTTCCGCTCGCTCCTGCTCGACGATCTCCTGCCTCAGCTTCCAGAAGCGCTTGATCTCCTCCTCGCCCGGCCAGTCTTCCGAGGAGTCGGCGGACCTCCTCAGCTCACTCGGGTCTAGCTTCTCGACAGGCGGGAAAAAGGACGCCTCCCGGGAACGAATGGCGTCCTCGTCGGGCGCAGTTTCCTCCTCAGACAAATACAACGAGGGCTGCGGCAGCTCACTTCGGCTCATGGTTGTAACTGGCGAAATCACTAAGAGGACCAACATTCTTGTAGCAGACTGGACTTGGACACCAGCTCCCCAGAACCACACAGACCCAGTGCCCAGCCCCCTCTGCAGAGAAGGGGGCGTGCAGGCTCCATCTACAGAGAAGGTCTGGGTGGGGGGGTTGGGGGTAGGCTCTCTCTGCAGGGAAGGCCTGGGAGGGGCGGGGAAGCTCCCCCTGCCCCGTGGCCATCACACTCCGTATAAATCTTTGCAAATAAACAGACTTATTTCCCTACCACCCTAGATCTTTTAATATCTTTATTTCTTACCAATTTTTAGCCCATATGCCTACTGTTTCTCTTTGGAATACTTTTGGTGACTTTAAACACTTTCATCTCTTGATAAATTACCTGTAAGAAAATGCGCCAGGAATACTCCTGCCTTTAGGACTAGGCTCAAAGGTCCCCTCATGAACGGACCAGCTCTGGGCAGCTCCGGACGAGTAACCCCAGCCTCCCACGGCAGCTCCCCCCACCCTCACCGGAGAGAATCAGCACAGGTCATGCTGACATAGACTCCTTCTTGGCTTTGGGTTTCTGAGTGATGGCAGTGGATTCTGATCCGCAATTAAGAGGTCAGGCTGGTGTACTCTCTGGGAAACAAGGAGATTCATGATTCCTAGTAACAGGTTGGCAGCAGACAAAACAGATGCATGAGCTGACTGCTGGTGCCACCACATGCCCGTGGCCTTCACCATTCCAGAGCCTGCCGGCCTCACTTCCTGCTGGGCTGGAGACCTGGGCGCCCGCCCCCAGGGGAAGCCCTCGACTCAACCACGTGTGCTGGTCCCACGGCACATGTGCCCTACTCCCTCGCTCTGCTGGGAGGAACTCCTGGACCTGAGTTCAGCAGTGGCCCTTGGCAAGTGTCACCTCGTAGATCACCAGTCCTGACCTGGTCAATGTGGGCGGCACCCAAGAGGCTACGTGTGACCGTGGAGGCCCAGTGGGGCTTCTGCTCCAAGTGGCAGCCAGCAGGACTGGTTCAGGCCATATCTGCCCCACTCTCTGCCATGCTGGCTTCCTCCCCTCCCCATCTCCCCTGCCTCAGCCTCCACGCTGCCCTCTGGGATCTCCTCCCCAGTCAGTTACTGGCCCTTGACTCCTGACTCGGGAGCAGCTTCTGGGGGACTCAAACCAAGACACTTTGCAAATACAATCAGTGTTTTAAAAGTAGGCACGCGGGGGCCGTTTGTTTGGATTTTGGATGAAGATGATTTGAGCACGACAGCACTGTCTCCTCGCTTCGGGCGTTCCTTACATTACCGAGGTGGACTCGTTATTTACATGGTGTGACTAGATCACATATATAACTACCGTGGCTGTTCCAAATGTACGCACTTTCTTCATTCTAGACGTCATGTTTTAAGTAGTAAATGTTTAGATATTCCGGAGTAAACGTTTGGAATACTTACTTTTTCGTAAGCATTCAGTTACAACTCTCCCCGATCTCTACCTCATCTAAGTGTGACTGCAGGGCTCCCTCATCCCCCAGCAGGCTCTATCATGGGCACTGAGAACGCAAACCTAGGAACACAGAACCAAGAAAAGACACTGCTCTGGCAGGTCAGCGCAGACACCTGAACACAGTGTGAGTCCCACAGAGGACACGTGAGGCCCCTGTGTGCTCCTTGTGACATCATTAGGGACGAGACAGCCTCCCGGTCCTGGCTTTAAAAAGCACTAACTTCAGTGTTATTGCTGTCTGTTGCAGTACTTGTCCCACAAACCTTGAGAAGTTAAATCTTGGGGGGCAGAGTGCTGCGCAGCGTAGATCTGCAGATAGGCCAGGATCGCACGCAGTCCCTTCTGCACCACGAGCGGAGTGGGGAACTCCAGCGGGCAGTGTCTCAGGTTCAGTGCTTTCAGCGAGGTCACATTCCCTGCACGCAAGAGGAAAGCCCAGAACTTCATACTCTCTTCCGTGGAATCGACAGGCAGAGGAAATTGTTTGCATATTCAAGAAAAAAATAAAGACTTATTGAGGATTTGGGGCAGATGGACAGATGTCTGCAATTTACTCTGAAAAAAGCTGCAGGGAAGGCAGACCGCACAGATGAAGCTCAGGCCACAAGAGTGAGTGAGCAAACAAGGGGACGCAGGAAAACCGGCCAAAGTGGGGGCGCAAAGTCACCGCGTCACGTGAAGTGCCTGCGCGCAATAACAAAAGCCCCTCAAGGGGATATAAAGGAAAGGCACCTGTGACCCACACTCAGGAAACAAGCAGTCACTAGAAACTGTCCTCATGTCAGTTCGGATATCGGAGGAAGCAGACAACTTCGAAGGAGCCACAAATATGTTCAAAGGAATGCAGAAAACCACGTTTAAATAATTAATGACTCAACAAGTCTCGAATGTCAACAAAAACAGAAATTCTAAGAAAGAACCAAACAGCAGTCCTAGAGTTGCAAATACGGAGCCCAGGAAGAAAAGTACACCAGAGGGACCAACAGCAGACACGGATGACAGAGGAAACAAGCGAACTCGAGATAAAAAGCATCCGTGCTGACGATCAGAGAGAAGAACGGTGAAACCAGGGGTGCGTGGAGGTCAGTGGAGCAGCAGTGCGTGTGCTGACTGGTGGGAGCGTGGCATGCTCCAGAGGACGAGGGGGGCGAGCAGAGCACCACATGAGGACACTGGGCAAAGGCTTGGGTGACAGACAGTGTAACTTCCAGGAGATTCAACGATCAAGTAAGATGAGCCAAAGGCAATCACACTTAGAAACATCAAAACCACTGAAATGCAAAGAAAAGTAAACGATCTTGAAAACAGAGCAAGAGAAACATACATACAAGGGGACAGCGAAAGTAATTTCCAGCTGAAGAGAGTGGAGGCCAGACGACAGGGAACAACATATTCGGAGCGCTGGAAAATCCTGTAATCAAGGGACCCAAATTCACCAAAACCGTCCTGCTGCGGGAAGAGCGGCTCACCGGGGCCGGCCTGCAGCAATTACTAAAGTCAACTCGCAACTTCAGAACTCCCCTGTCGTGCACACAATCTCTCGGCCAGCTCACCACCACTGCACCATACAAATGAGCTTAACGGCAGAAGACAGAATCTGGGCAAACTGGAACAAAGAGAAAAGGGGAAGGGAAAAGAAGAGTGTATCTGAGGCATGTGGGACAGAATCAAAAGCCCGACATCCATGTGATTGGAGGCCTAGGAGGAGAGGAGAACGAGAAAGAAGCCAGATCGACAGAAATTATGTTGACTGCCAGGGATTTTCCAAATCTGATTAAAGACATCAATAAACAGATTCCAGAAGCTAGGGAGCCCCAGATAAAGTAAATACAAAGAAAGCCACACCCAGGCAGCTCACAGGTGAACTGCTGAAGATTAAACAGGAAGAGAAGCATTCTCAGCAGCCAGACCAGAGCGATACGTCCCTTTTAAAAGAAAAGCAGTGAGACTGACAGCTGACTTCTCAACAGCCATTAGAAGCCAGAAGACAATAAAGACACTTTAAAATGAAATCTGGGTTCTTATACTCTGTCAAATATTCTTCAAAAATGATGGGAAAATCAAGATGCCTTTTTAGAAAATCAAACTTGAATAATTCATTACCAAAGGACTAACTGACAATAGCAAAGAGAGATCTTCAGGCTAAGTTGGTCATCCCAGGTGGAAGCAGGGAACTTTGAGAAATGAAGGGTAAACATGTAAGAAAATATAAATAAATATGGACAGTTGAAGATGTAGCTGCCGGATTTACAGCAAGACAAAAGCAAAATCTATGAAAACGACAGAACAGAGGAGGGAGGAGGCAATGGGAAGAGCACTCGTTTCTGCAGACGCTCGTCGGTCAAGGACGTGCACGTGGCTCCTAGAGAACCACTCGGCAACGCTGCACGTGGTACATTGAGGGGATCCTACTTCCAGCAGTGCTGGAGCAGCTCCAATCAGATCAACTCTGCAGGAGATTGTTTGTGGAAACTGGGCAAGACAGAAATGAAAAGCAGGCAGAAACGAGAGGGGGAACAACAGCTCCAAGAAGAGAAAGACACGAAAGAGTGTAGTATCTGTACAGCTTTCTGCACCACACAGGGCAGCTGCAGCAGACAGAAACCCTTAAGGTCATATCGACCTGCAGTGTCAGAGGACGGCCTGTAGAGCTACCACAGCAGCTAAAGAGTGAAGGCCTGGACTCCAGAGAGGGGACAGCCGAGCGGAGCCTTTTGTCTCCGTGTACATGGTCGTCACAGTCCTGAACTTCCCACGTGTAGGACAGCACGGCCACAGCTACTGCCCTCTGCCAGACAGACAGAGTTCGCAGTCTGTCTCAGTCCTCGGAATGTAACTACCTATTTTAAAAAAACCAACACTCTAAAGAGGAATATAACAGAATCCAGACTCTCTGCAATGTGTCTATCACGATATCCAAGATATAATCCAAGTAATTGTTAAAGGGAAATATGTTCATATCAAATGAAAAAGTACGAACTCTCAGTAGAAAATAGTAACTAATAAAATATGAAAATTCTAAGATTGACAATACAGTATCTGAAAAAAAATTACTAGGCAATGTTCACAGCTAGTTGGAGATGACAGGAAAGGCTCATAAACTTGAAGATGTTATCTTCTCTGAAGAGCATAAAAATGTGGACTTTAAAATGTACAAAAGGTCAGTGAACTGTGGAACAATAACAAAAATTCCAACAAATAGGTAAAAAGAGAGACCAAGAGCAGAAAAATATTTGAAGGCTTAATGACCAAAATATCTCCCAAATTTGGCAAGAGACGTGAATTTAAAAATTGAATAAATTCAACAAACTCCGAGGAGGCTAAATACAAAGAAAACCACAGCTAGGTACCTCATCATCAAACTGCTGAAAAGCGAAGATACAGAAAACCTTGAAAGTAACCAAAACCAATCATCACAGTTGATAAAGGAGAACCAAGAATGAAGGACCTCTGAGGCCTGGAGTCAGTGCAACTTCTTTGAAGTCCTCAATTAAAAGAATCCAACCGTATTTCTAGATCAACAATGTCCTTTAAGAATTAAGGCAAAATAGGGGGGCACCTGGGGGGCTCAGTGGGTTAAAGCCTCTGCCTTCGGCTCAGGTCATGATCTCAGGGTCCTGGGATCGAGCCCCACATCGGGCTCTCTGCTCAGCAGGGAAGCCTGCTTCCTCCTCTCTCTCTGTCTGCCTCTCTGCCTACTTGTGATCTCTGTCTCTGTCAAATAAATAAATAAAATCTTTTTTAAAAAAAAAGGAAGGCAAAATAGGGGCACGGGGGCGGCTCAGTTGGTTGGGCAGCCGACTCTCGTTTCAGCTGTGGTCATAGCTGCAGGCTCCCTGCTCAGTAGAGAGTCTGCTGGTCATCCTCTCCCTCTGCCCCTCCCCGTTTGCTCATACACACGTGCGTGCTTTTTCTCTGTCTCTTAATAAATAAACAAATCTTTAAAAAAAAAACACGAAAATTAAAAAGGCAGAGATTGACTGGATAAAAGAGTGAACCCAACCATATCCTACAACACGAGCAATGTATTGTAAATACAGACAGGCTGGAAGCAAAAGAATGAAAACCATGCACCATACAGACAGTAAGCAGAAGGTTGGAGGACCCACACTGACGATGGGGGAGCGAAAGGCTAGCTAAGGACAAGACAGAAGCTGGCGGCCTACACCAGCCCCCCCTTGTGACATCTGTGACATTCCTCGGGGACTGCTGGCTGCCCTACATTGAGAGCAGATGGTTAAGGAGTAGAGACCACAGTCCTGCAGGACAGGAGTCTCCCTCAGTTTACCAGTGTCCTTGTGACTGACAACAACCTAACTTCCAGAAGACTCCAACTGTCTTCATGTTGGTACCTCATTAGAAAAATGAAACAAAACTTAGCTTGGCTTGACAATAACCAGGCCTCCAGCATCCTGACAGTCTTCTTTACCATACGTCAGTCCTTCTGAACCCCTTTGTCCTCACATAACCAGCCAGTCCTCTGGGTCACAGGGCAGCAGCGCTTCCTGCCCACCGGTCCTGGTCCCGTGCCTCAATAAACCACCATTCTGTACCAAAGACGTCTCAAGAATTTGTTCTTGGTCATCGGCTCCAGACTCCACCCCACTGAACCTCACCTGTATCTAAAACTTCATCACTAATACATACCGAATGGCCAATAAGCATAGGACAGTTTCCATGTCACCGGCCATCAGAGAACCGCATATGAAAACCACAACACAGTAACACTACACGCACCAGAGTAACAAAACTAACAATAGAGACATCCCAGATTTCTATTCAACCAATAACATAGTATCAAAATATATAAAGTAAAAGCGGACAGACCTAAAATGAAAGGCAGACAAATGCACAATCATAGTTCACGATTCAACAGGGTCCTGCAGGCACTGACAAAATAAACAGACACAAAGGGATGTAGATAGCCTGAACGCTGGGATCAAGCAACTTGACCTAACCCAATAGATGGGACATCGCATCACGTGGCCGCGTGAGCACACACACGCTTCTCTCGTGCACCAGGCGATGCCGGCCACACAGAACGCAGCCTGGGCCGGAAAGCACACCTGAACAAGTTTCGCATAGCCAAAATTACACAGCGTGTGTGGCATTAAATTAGAATTCAACCAAAGGAAGAGAATTAGAAAGTCTCCCATTGTGTGTAAATGAAGCAAAACAGGAAGAGCCCATGGGTCACAGTCTGTCCGAGAATATCTTGTGCTGAATGACAGCGGAGGTGCGCAATGTGGGGGCTTGTGGGGGCAGCTAAGGCAGCGCTGGGGGGAAATCACCAGCTGTGACTGCATGGATTAGGACAGAAAGGTTTAAAATCGGTGATTTGGCTCAGTGGGTGAAGCGGCTGCCTTCGGCTCAGGTCATGATCCCGGGGTCCTGGGATCGAGCCCCGCATGGGGCTCCCTGCTCAGCGGGGAGCCTGCTTCTCCCTCTCCCTCTGCCTCTTCTCCCACCTGTGCTCCCTCCCCACCCCCTCTCAAATAAAATCTTTAAAAAAAAAAAGTGATCTAAGCCTCCAACTCAATTGGTTAGGAAAAGAACAGCACATCAAACCCAACAAAACGGAGCAGAGAGCAGAAGAATGGGCGACAGACAGACGCAGACCAGAGAACATCATCTTCTGCGTCCTCCTCACTATTTTCAGCCGGGAAAAGGAATAAAAATGAAAGCACCACACTTACACACGTTCTCCACGCATAAACCCCAGCAGCTTGGCGCTGAGCCCGAACCACGCATGCCCAGCACCCCGTACCGGTCTGAGTCAACTTACGGAAAGTCCAAGAGGAGGCCCTTTACACGTGCACGGTCAGGGAGACGCCAGTGGCCAAGCTCGCCCAGGGAAGCAAGGAGAGGCTGTAGGACCCGCGGGCTCCCGGCGGGAGGGACCGAGGGGGAGCACCACTGCGCAGGGCAGCGCTGGAGCCGGCTTTCCTGAAGGTGTGCTCTGGCTACGCAGCCCTCCGCAGTAATTACTTCTCCCCTCTGTGTCGTACCTTCCGTGTGAATCTACGTTCCAACACGACAGCTCTCGAGCACTGTGCTGTCCGAGAGCCCAGGAAGGACGGAAGGGGAAGGGATGATTAAAGCAGGAGCCAGCTCGCCCCCTGGGACTTACAGGCTGCCTGAGCTTGAAAAGGCAGCAGGTTAAAGCCAGCTTTTATTTCATTGTTTGAACACTTACCCAGCTCCACAGGCAACATTTTGATAGGATTTCTTTCCAAAAGCAAAGTTTTCAAATGCCTTTAAAACAAAATAAAAAATATATAATTTAAAAAGCAGAAAATGAAATGACCATCCCCAAAATACACCATCAAATTTCTTCCTTCGCCACCTCTTTAAGGAGACAATGTCACTGCAGGCGCACACGCTTGCTGCGTGCCACACGCATGGCCCATGGCTGCCTGCCCACGTGGCTCCTGGTCTCAGCAACGGGCCAGGTTCTCCGCCTCAGCACACGGACACTCCAGGCCAGGCGACTGTCTGCTGGGGGGCTGCCCTGCCCCTGTGGGACGTCCGGCAGCATCCTGCTCTCTACCCACCAGTCCAGGGGGACTCCCTCCCGACGCCGTGACGACCAGGAAATCTCTGGGCATTGTCGGTGCTCAGACTGCCAATCTCGGCGTTCCCTGAGGTGTGCTGCAGGGACCCCAGCCCTCAGAGATGCTCCGTGAGCACTTTTCCCAGTCGAAATACCTGGGAGCCTTCTGCCACACTGCACACCGCCTGCGGGGTCACTCGCAGTGAAGGGCCCAGGGCAGTCTCCGAGCAAGGCGGGATGAGGGGCGTTTCTCTAGGCCTTTGACTCCAGATCCCTTCCCTAGTACCTAGTAACATCTCCTAGAAAATCTTGCACAAAATGTACCCTGGAGAGACAGGATACAAGGTGCCCACTGAAAAGTTACTCAGCGATGGGGAAACACGAATACCTCATGTTAAACTCAGTCTTGCCCCTTTTACCCTACTATGCTGCTTTTGTTTTTCACATTTAATTCTTTTTTTAAAGGCTTATTTATTTATTTATTTGACAGACAGAGATCACAAGCAGGCAGAGAGGGAGGCAGAGAGAGAGGGAGAAGCAGGCTCCCCACTGAGCAGAGAGCCCAATGTGGGGCTCGATCCCAGGGCCCAGAGACCATGACCTGAGCTGAAGGCAGAGGCTTAACCCACTGAGCCCCCCGGCCCCCAGGTGCCCTGTTTGCATGTTTAATTCTCAAGACTGCATCATACACTAAGGATTAGTTTCTTTTTCTCCTTCCCTTTTTAGGGACCCTCAGCTGAAATCTGACATAAAAAGACCACAATACCCTGAGGCTCATGTCTCCAGCCGGGGCGGGGTGGGGGGCGGGTGCGTCCAGGCAGAGGGCAGGACCCCCAGCCCTAGCCACCCTGTATGCACGTCACCCTGGGCCTCCCAGGGCTCTGGGGGGATTGTTGAACCCGCTGTACTACCCCATCTCCAGGGTCGGCCTGCCAGCCAGCACACTAGCCGCCCCACAGCGCAGAGTGGCTTGTCTGTGTTCCAGGCGCGCAGGGACACCGACCGTGTGGGGCCGGCTGCCTGCCCCAGTGGAAGAGACCTCACGAGCCCCTGGAGAAAAGCCCCTAGCCGCCTTCTCCTCTATTGCTGACCTCAGCGGCCCCAGGAAGCCACCAGGTGGGTCAAGTGACTGGAGGGGGTCCAAGCTGCGTCCCCCGGTTTCTGTTAGGGTTGGGGTACAGAGGAGCAGCTGGTCACACGTACAAATCCCATCAACGAACCCGCACCGTGAGTGGGAGGAGCCTTCTCAGCCTCATTTCACCTCGAAGGTGAAACAAACTAAACTCCAACATCACAACAGACCAGAGTCCACAGGATTTGAAGGGAAAAGCCATTTTACAGACGGACAATGCAGAGCTCTAGCATTCCAGTTAAATTAAGCTTAATTTTTGGATCGGCAACCCCAAAGGAAAATCAGATTTCTTGAAGATTAGGCAATTTTCTTTCCATTTGCTCTCTTGGCTTTCCCCTCTTATTTGAAGTTTTAAAGGAACAGACTTTATCCATTGAACTTTTCTTGATTACACAGAGGTGCATTATTTCAGTGTCCCTTCAACTACTTGTTTTGGGTTCAGCCCCTTTTAGCTGTGGAACACAGAAAGCAGGCGGAGGATGGGCGGGTGCTGGCTCTGCACAGGACGGACAGACCTGCAGACCAGGGGCGGCAGGTGGGCGGGCGCCCTGGGCTCCCCAGCAGCAGGTCCTGTGTGTCAGGGCGCCCCTGAGCACTGGCCTGCAGGCCTGGGGGTCGGCAGTGGTGGGCGGAGGCCATGGGGACCCACCATCCCCCAGAAAGTGTGTCCGGGCAATGATCTGTGTGGATATTCTCGTGCACCTCGAGCAATGAACTGACACGCTGCTGACCCCGTACACTATCAGCAGTGCCCCCCGCGCCCCCGTGATGCCGGCGACCTCCCCTGGAGCACACGTTCACACACGGAGCCGGAGCTGCCTGCCCGAGGGGCGCACATACCGACGTGTACAGCCTGGCTCGCTCTCTGCACACAAGCTCACACGTCCAAGGCAACGAGAGGGGAGAGCATTAACACTGGCACTGCTTTAATTAGGCTTTTCGGAAAGTTTAAGGCTTTTAATAAGCCCATAATTAACATTTCTGATGAGTATGTTTCAGCATTTGGGCAGCTGATCTAATTTTAATGACATAACGGGCTATAAATCACATGCAAAACTGTATCTTAAACAATACTAAGCAGCTGGCTTTGACTGGCAAAATCAAAGAACTCCGAAGCTGGGGGACTGCGGGCTTGCTTTCTGGGAAAGAACAGTGCTTAGGGAACGGATTTTTGCTTATTTGCCCTCTGAGTAGCAATCCGTCTCCTCGCTGTGCAGGCACCAGCTGCTGGACAGAAAGCACTGAATTACCCTCAGCACCAAAGATCAGGACCTTGGGAAGAACAATGCCTTCCCGGTCCACCTGCGAACACAAGCTGGGAGGACGTGCGAGGCCACCAGGTGGAGGGGACACGGTGGGAGCAGGCCCCGGGAAGTCTCAGCCACCTGCTGGGGGCCAAGGCCATGGTTCTGTGTGTCCAGTGGCACAACTCACGGCAGGCGATCTGCAGACCCTGACTAGTCCAGGAGCTCCAGGAAGGCGGCTCCCGGCTCTGACTCCCCCGGCCAGAGACCCCAGCTCAGCATCAGAAATCAGCTGCTTCCTTGCAGAGCCGGCGAAGGCACAAATGATTCACAGGGATTTTCTCTCACTGTGACGTGTGACAAAATACTCACTTCCTAAAAATCACTCTGAACAACAGTGAGCTACAGCTCAGGCCCGCGAAGGGCCTTGTACAGACTTCCGGTCTGCTGAGTCGCAGCGGCCGCATGGCTCTCTGCGGACACGGTCACTCACATAGGAAGGGGGGTCGCCCCGGCATACCTGTCTTCCTCCAACACCTATGGCCATCCCGAACCCCACTGGCTTCTCAAGTGGCCTGCAGGTCTGTGTAGTCAGCCTGACTCGGGCCACTGCTTCCGCACCAGCCGCCCACCACCCCTCCTTAGAGAGTGACCTCAAGGCCAAGTCGAGTCCCACCTTCTCCACTCAAATCCTCCGTGACTCCACCATTCAGGTCAGAATGAAACCCAACATGGCGAGCCCACCTGCAAGGGTGGCCCCTCTCCCTCCTGTGTCCCGGCACATGGGCCGCCTGGCCGTCCCCTACGTCGCCCCGTGCACACACACCCACGGCCTATGCGTGTGCTCTCCTCTGCCCAGGAGGCACTCACATTAAAGGAGATCACTGTAGGATCTACAGTGTTTACTGGAAGGTTCTCACAAGGTCAGGAAACACAGACAGGGAGGGAAGCAGGAGCTGGAGGCGCTGAGGTCAGGACAGGAGGCGGAGCGCACTGTGAGCCCCGCTCCTGGGGGTCTGAGGCGGCTGACCCAGGACGAGGGGACCCAGGGCTGCTGGCCAGGGCTACGTGAGGATGAGGGAAGCGCGGCGTCTGTTCCAGGCGTGGGGGTGCTAGGAAGTCCCCAGGATCAGAGCGGCAGGAACATGGCAGGATGACAGGCCTTGCTTACGTCGGGGTTTCCAGCTCCCCAAAATGGAAAGCATTTCTTGTTATTTATCAGAAACTAGTGGGTACCCGCAGGCCTTGGGAGCTGAGAGGCTGGTGCAGTTCATCAGCCCAGCTCCTGACCCTTCTGGCAGCTTCGCATGAGGACAGTCAGAGCTGGAACCAGATGGCGCAAGCACCTCACTGCTGGCCCAGCAAAGGCACAGTGGCCTCCAGCATTCTCCGTGCTATTAAGCGTCCTGCACTATGACCCAGTTCCGTGCGTTTGTTCATTCAGCCGCGGCATCTCTTAGCCGGCTTTAAAAACAGCGCTAAATGCTTCTGCATTGAAATCAAAATTCAATCAGGGGCAGGAGCTAAGCAGCACGAGGGCTGGCACTCAGACGTTTTAACACACGATGGTCTCAAAATCTGGAAAAACAAACATACAACTTACTTGTGAGACCCAATCCCAGAAGGAAGTGCCTTAATTCTGTTGCAGCGGAGGTCCAGCCAAGTGAGGTTCGGCAGCAACTGGAAGAAATCTGTGGGGAGCTCGCGGAGGGCGTTTCTTTGAAGATGCAGTTGCTTCCGGGGAGAAGAAACGGGAACGTCTTGCCTAACTGCATTTTAAAACATGATGCATCCCAGAGCATTTCCAGAAGAACCCCAGGCTCTTGCACTCACACACATCAAGTGAACAGAAAGCCCAGATCTTACTCTCAGACACTATAAACAGCAGACGAGAGTCAGAAGGAAAGCACCGGGGTCCCCTGCCCAGGTGGTGGGTGTGCAGAGTGACTCCCGGGCTGGCCCCGTGGCTCCCTCACGGCTGACGGCTCAGCCACTGCCGCTGCGCACACCACTCATTCTCTGCAAATAGCCCTGAACACCGGACCGGCTCTCCAAGTGCTTCAGTCCCTCTCCTCCTCTCTAGGCCCCACACGGGACGCCTCCTGGGCTCTGCTGTCCCTGCCCCTTCCCGAGTGCCTGTCACAGGCAGCCCGCGGTCACTGTGGTCAGTGGACAAATGGCACGAGCGGAGTCCGGTCCCAGGGACTCGACCCAAGCCAAGATTCACAGGAAGCTAAAGGAACCGTGCGCAAAGCTGCCTGCCTGGGCTGCAGGGCCGCCGTGTCCGGTTACCCCCAGCAGCCCCACAGAAGCCGGCCACTGACGCAGGACGTGAGAGGGCGGGCAGGGCCAGGTCGGCACCCGCGGCACTCACTGCAGCCGTGTAAACGGCACACATGAGAGTCTGCAGCAGCAGCGTGGCATGGTGATGGGGAATTTTTAAGTAGGCTCCATGCCGAGCGTGGAGTCCAATGCGGGGCCTGAATCCACCACCGTCAGGTCAAGACCTGAGCAGAGATCAGGAACCAGAAGCTCAGTGGCGGAGCGCCTAGGTGCCCCCAGCAATGGTGCCGCTGTGGCATGTGGTGCGCCCCTCACTGCTCTGCACGTCCCATGAGGATCTCGAACTCCTCTACCGCCGAGCCGGTGGGGCACGATTGTTGAGAACGCGGGCCCAGAAGCCAGACTCTCTGGGTTCAAATCTGGATTCGGAACCTTACTAGCTGCGTGACTCAGCGGGCTCCCAAACCTCTCTGCGCTCTGGTGTTGCCCCTGTGCAGGGGTCACATGACCCACCTGCCTGGGTCCACTGGGTGAGCAGCGACTGGCACAGAGGGGGGCCAGGAAGCAGCGGCCACCACAACTGAGGAGCCCTAAGTGCAGCCTGTGCGACCAGCCACCCCCTTCGGCCATAGCATCACGAAGCCCAGCTCTGCCTCCAACGCCGAGCACCGCGTGTCTTCACAGGTAGGGCAGGGGCTTTACCAGCACATGCAGTAGGAACTCTCCAGCCTACCGAGGCATGGCCAGACACCATGCTGGCCACAGCCAGTCTCTGGGACACGGTCAGGCCGTCACGCCGCACAGCATGTGTGTCCCTCGACGTGAGCCCGCTCGGGCCTCAGCGGCAGTGTGGCCTCCAAGCCTCTCAGACCCGCTCTCTCTCAGGCCGAGCTGGCTCTAGGGCTCAGCTCTGAACCCACACGTCCTCCCAAAGGCCAGAAGAGGCAGGAAGAGATGGTGCTGTTCTTTGCAAAGGGCTGTTCCAGCCACCAGCGAGGTGACAGTGCCACAGAAGCCTACCCTTTGCGTGGGACCCGCAAAGACGGCCTCCTTGTGCTCCGTGTGTGCGCACATCTCTGGACGCGTGACTGGTGACCTCAGAGAGCACTGCTTCGCCCGCACACGGACCGGGAACCCACAGAGCAGAGCGGCCGCCTCCCTCGTGATTGGTTGCCATAGTAACCATCTCTGTTTTCTGAGAGGCATGAACAGTTATGATGTTTCTTTATCTAGCCTAAAGAACAGTTCAGAATCTCCTCTTCTGGAAGGGAATTTCAGAATTTCCTCTGCTGGAGCCCTTGTTCACGGTCGGGAGTGTTTGTGCTCAGACACTGCGGCCCTGACGACCCAGGAATTAATTCACTGCAAGAGGTCGGTGCTCGGGGAAGAGAGAGCGGGGCAGGGCCGGCTGTGACCGCAAACGCATGGCATGTGACACGCGACAGCGGGGCACCTGACACCCTCGCAGACAGCTCTGTGCAAGTGCTCCAAACGGCAGCTGACACCTTACGGGCGCGATGTGACCACGGGCCCTGTGGGCGCTGCACTTCACGAGCCTTACAGCCTAATTCTCATAATGACCCACAAGAATGGTCTCCTTCTCGTGTTCCAGATGAAGACAAACCAGGTTTAAGGAAATTACGTGAGTCCGAGGCAGCAGGAGCCCAAGCCCTGCACTCCTGCCCCATTCACGTCCACACTGTGCTCCGATGGAACCTTATTCTAGAAACCCTAGAGGATGAGACGGTACCCGCTAGGTTAGCAGCTGGCGGGGGCCTGGCGAGGCACCAGGCACAGGGGAAAGTCAGCATGTGAAGCCTGCAAGGCAGGGGTGAGAAATGGTGTTTACCTGTCTTAATGCCACATGGGAGCTCTTGGTGGGGGGGGGGTTTCAACAGGAGATCAAGGGTGCTTTCCGCAGTGCTTTCTACCACGGGCTTTTGGTGCTTACGACTTTCCCAAGAAGAGAGGCTAGGTATCACAGTGTGACTCCACGAGGTGTTTCCACTGGTGGGTCCCCGTGCCGGAATTTCTCTTTTGTGATGTGCTCACCACATGAGACCCCGAGTCAACCCTCTTCTAACCCTCATCCTAGAAACACTCTCTTAAGCAGAGGACTCTAAGTAAAAGCCCCTCACGTCCACTTGGCAGAAGCACAAACACCCTATGAAACGCCCACTTACTTCGAGGCTGGGAATTTTAAAGATCTCTCCTAAGTGGTGAAGACCACTTTGACTCAAGTCTAAAACCGACGAGGAAGAAAAGATGAGCCCCTGAGCTCCCTCGTGAACCTCTCTGGAGGGGGGAGCAGGGGTGCCCCTAGCTGGAGCAGCGCCGCTCTCCGGACCAGCCGGCCCCAGGGGACCTCGCAGGAGCTGCTTCCTTCCATCTCTCGGGGGGTCGGCTCCTCTGCTCATGCTCCTCGGTCTGCAGGCACCTGGAGACGGGGAGGGGAGACACAGCAACATGGAGGGGACCCGATGCGTCCTCCCGGGGGGCACAGGGGAGCAGATGCACGACGGTTTCCCTTGCTTACAAAACCATCACCTTAATAAGCTGTAGCATAAATCTGACATTTAAGTTTGCAGGAAGGAAGGGAGCGGGAGGTCAAGAAGGTTCTGGTGGAACCTTATGCTTCTCCCTCTACCACGCGCCACGGAGCCCCGAGACTGAGCTTCCAGCTCCTGGAAAACACTGACGCAAAACAAGAAAGGCTACTTCAGGGGAGCAAACGAGCCGGAAGGCTTCCCACTCGGCCAGCCGGGATGCTCCTCCCGCGACCCGGGCGTGGAGGGCGCCGCGCTCTCCGCACGGAGTCAGGCTCCCCGGGTCCCGGAGCCGCAGCCGCTCCGCCACTCGGTCCGGGGTCGCCACGGGGTCAGGGGGACACAAGGCCGGGCGCTGGGACAGCCTGTCCAGATGGAATCCTGAACTCCGGACGGACCCCGGACGGACCCCAGCCAGGCCCGGCCCCTAGGTGCGACCGCGGCACACGCGCGGTACCTTCCCGGCGGGGCTCCCCCGGGGACCGGCGGCCGCGGACGGCGCGAGGGTGCGGCGACCCCCGGCAGCCTCCCCGCGGCGGGGCGGGTCCCGAGACCCCGTGGGAACCGCAGCCGCTGAAGCAGGGCGGAGCCGGCTCCTCGAGGGGGGCCGCGCCAGGGTCCCCATCCCCCCGCGCCCGGCGGCTCGGACCCCGGGCCTAAGTTCCGGACTGAGACGCCTTCGCCAGGGCAGCGGGACGCGGCGGGGACCCCGAGGGGCGCGGCCTTCCTTCGGCCCGCGGCGCCCCCGCCCGCCCCCGCCTCACCCGCCCGCACCCCCGCCCGACCCCCCGCCTCACCCGCCCGCACCCCCGCCTCACCTGCGGCGCCGGCCCGCGGCTCCCGGCACAGCCGGCCCTGGAGAGCCGCAGCCCAACAACCCGACAATGCCGGCTGCCGGCCCACGCGGTCGCCATGGAGACGCCCGTACGGAGTCCCGCAGGCGCCAAGCCCCGCGGTGCGCGCGCAGCCGCGGACAGCGAGTGGTGCGCATGCGTACGCGGCCACTGGGCCGGCCGGGGACTCCGTTCTCCACCAGCTTTGGCGTCGCCTGTGGCCGCCTGGGCGAACCAGTGCGTGACCCTCAGAGCGGACACGTGCGCCTTAGTCCGGAGACGCGCACGCACGAGGAGGGCGCTTTCGGGCCGCCCGAGCTAGCAGGTTCTGGGTGACCCCGGCCTTGGGGGCCAGCGGGCCTGCGGGCTCGGAGGGGCCCCGGGATCGCTGCCATCCCACGGACACCCGTCCACCCCCACCCACCCCCGGAGAGCAGGGGGCCCGCCCCTCGCCCGAGGCAGCGTCCTCCCCAGGAGCCCGCCAGGCCCCCTCTGGGCTCTCCTTGGCCAGAGCTTCCAGTCACCAGCGGGGAAACGACAGCCACGCAGCGGGCCCAGGCCAAGCAGGATTCCCTCTGCGCCGGCCCCTTGGCCAAGCGCCCAGGTGGCCAAAGGTGGACCCCAGGCAGAGGTGGAACCTCTGGGGAGGACGTCCTTCAGGAGCTGGTGCGGGGAAGGAGGGGCCGCCAGACAGCTTCTGACCAACGTTCTTCCAGGGCCCGAGCCGCGGCTGCCGGGAAGGAAGCCGCAGGGGCAACGGGGAGTGAAGGCAGGTAGGAACCCGCAAGCACGGACTGGGCCGGTGGCCCTCCTGCAGCAGAAGTCGGTAGCGGTCGTCGGAGAGCCGCGTGCACCCTGCGGGGAGCTGGAGAAGCTAACAGCCGCGGGGGGGGAGG